CTTTGGCTCAAAGTGGTAAAGCACTAGCCTTGAGCAAAAAGAGCTCAGTGACAGAGCACAGGCCCTGAGTTCAAGCCCCACAATTGACAGAAAAGAGAAAAGGAAGAAAGAAAAAGAGCAGAAATGGCAAAAGTCTGCAGACCAACAGGATTTATTCCAGAGGAAAACTTGTATTTGGCATGCAACGAAGTCTCCTTCAAACTGGCTGAAGGGTACAACTAGGGTCCCTTTAAATATTAGGCAGAAAAAAATGGAGTCAGACAGGGATAGAGAGATGCAAGGTGAGATGGAAGTGGGGTGGGTGAGCAATGTTATTTTTTATTTTATTATTTTACCAGTCCTGGGGCTTGAACTCAGGGCCTTGGTGCTTCCTCTTTTTCTTTTTAATATATTTATTATTATTATTATTATCTTTAAGTAGTTGTACAAAGAAGTTCCCATTCTACAAAACAGTATATGAATACAAGGTGTCTGACAACATTGTCACCCATCGCTCCTAACTCATCCCTTCTCCTTGAACTTCTTTTGCTCTAGGCTAGCATTCTACACTTGAGCCACTGCCAGCTCCACTTTCAGCTTTTTGATGGTTAATTAGCGATAAGAGTCTCACAGACTTTCCTACCTGGGCTGTCTTTGAACCACAATCTTCAGATTTCAGCCTCCTGAGTAGCTAGGATTACAGGCATTAGCCACTGGTACCCTGCTGGAGCAATGTTATTGTTGACTGAGGAGTTTCAAGGTCTCCACAGCATCTGTGTCTGCCAGGTAAGCAGGGTCATCAGCTCAGACATGGCCTTGCTCTCAGGCTCTCTTCTCCAAAACTGCAAGGAATGTTGGTTGAGGATGAAGGGGAGGGGTGATGATTCAGCAGGATTGGCAGGGAGGACAGTTTTAAGACATGGCCTTAGAGGGGAAAGGTGAGTGCTTTCAGTTTATGTCATTTTCCTTCAGCCTCAGCTTCCCAGCTTGTAGAAATGGCACCCGGTGTGTTAGAGCACCTTGAGCCCCTAGGAAACAGCCAGACAGGGCCTCCACAGCCTGAGCCCTCTATGATCACATGCCTCCATTTGTCAGATTGTGTGTGACCGGAAGCACTAGGACCAGCATGCCACGGCTCTGTTGCTTCTAGCAGTTTCTCTCGCTGACATCCAGCATCTGCCTTCATCTACCCGGGGTTGCAGCATCCTCTCTAAGCCTCTGTCTGTCTGTTGCTTTCCCTGATGTCATCCATAATGTCAATGGATCTTTTTTTCCTCCCTTAAGCTGATGTTTTGGTCTATTCTTGCCATTTTTTGACAAATATGATTAACAAAAACAACTAATAACCCACTAAATTTCAGTTGATAAACTTTCTTTTCTTTTGCTTGCCCTGGAGTAATATCTGTTACCTGGTTCTAAGAAGCTCTGTACACTTCATATTTGTGTGTGTGTGTGTGTGTGTATTTCAACATACAGAGAAAGGAGAAAGTGCTTAAAAAGAGGATGAAATTGAAGGGGGCCTGTAGCTTACACCTATAATCCTAGCTTCTCAGGAAGCTGAGATCTGAGAATTGAGGTTCAAAGACAGCCCAGGCAGGCAAATCTTTATCTCCAATTCACCAGCAAAATCTTTTTTTTTTTTTTTTTTTTTTCGGGTCCGGTCGTCGGGCCTGATCTCTGGGCCTGGGCGCTGTCCCTCAGCTCTTCAGCTCAAGGCTAGCGCTCTACCACTTCAGCCACAGCGCCACTTCCGGCTTTTTTCTTTTTGCTTATGTGGTGCTTAGGGATCGAACCCAGGGCCTCAGGCATGCAAGGCAAGCGCTCTACCACTGAGCCACCCTCCCAGCCCCTCACCAGCAAAATCTCAAAATAGAGATGTGGATCAAGCGGTAGAGTGCCAGTGATGAGCAAAATTGCCAACTGAGAGCTCAAGGCCCATTACTCCAGCTGTCTATGCATCGGTGGCCTCTTCTGATGGCAGGATGGATTACAGCACCTATGCCACAGGGCTGTCTGAGGAATAAATGAATTGACACATGTGACATATAATGCATGTAGATTATAGTCTAAATGTTGCCTAAGACAGGAAAGATCAGCTGGTCTGCTGGCCAAACCCAGCCCAACACTTTTTCTGTGTGTATGTGTGTGTGCAAGTACGTGTGTGTGTGTTTGTGTGTGTGTGTGTGTGTGTGTGCACGCGTGCCAGTTCTGGGCTTGAACTCAGGGCCTAGGCACTGTTCCTGAGCTTTTGTACTCAAGGCTAGCATTATTCTATTTGAGCTACATTTCCACTTCCCAGGTTTTTTTTGGTGGCTAATTGGAGATTAGAGTCTCACAGACTTAACTGCTCAGGCTGGCTTCGAACCGCAATCTGCAGATCTCAGCCTTCTTAGTAAGTAGTGTTACAGGCATTGGCCATCAACTCCTAGCCCATCATTTATTTTTTTGACCTTTTTTTCTATCATTTATTTTTTGTATAAAGTTTTATTGGAACATAGACTTGTCCCTTTTGTTATATAGTATTCATGGCTATTTTGTTACTACAGCAAGGTGAGAGTTTAAGAAATATTTCCCTGCCAGCAGGAAGATCTCTGTAGTGCCCGCACTTGGGTCATTGCTGCTTTAGTGTCCTTCTGTTATCTCCTGTGCTGACTGTGGTATGTTACCACAGGGGTAGACAGCGCATGTGCATACACACACACACACACACACACACACACACACACACACACACACACACACACACACACACACACACACGCTGCACCACATAGTGATTCTACGTGCTCATCTACTTTGTCTCTCCTAACTAGCTCCATTCCTCCTTTTCCTGTTTGCTTGGGGGTGTTGTTAAAATTCAGGTGTGGTGCAGGGGATCTATAGTGGGGCCGGAGGTCCAGCACAACTCCCACAGAATACTAGGAGCATCATTTGCCTTTAAAAGCAACTAAGTCAGCTGGGTGCTGGTGGCTAATGCCTGTAATCCTAGCTACTCAGGATGCTGAGATCTGAAGATTATGGTTAGAAGCTAAACCCGGGGCAGGAAAATTGGTGAGACTATTAACTACAATTAACCACCCAAAAGCCCTAACTTGGAGCAGTGGCTCAAGTGGTAGAGTGCTAGCCTTGAGCAAAAAAGTTAAGGATCAGGGCTGGGAAGGTGGCTCAGTGGTAGAGCACTTGCCTTGCATGCTCGAGGCCCTGGGTTCGATTCCTCAGCACCACATAAGCAAAAAGAAAAAAGCTGGAAGTGGCGCTGTGGCTCAAGTGGTAGAACGCTAGCCTTGAGCTGAAGAGCTGAGGGACAGCACCCAGGCCCAGAGTTCAGGCTCCACGACCGGACCCAAAAACAAACAAACAAACAAAAAAAGTTAAGGATCAGTTCTCAGGCCCTGAGCTCAAGCCCCAAGAGCAGCACGCACGCACACGCTTGTGCACACACACACACATACAGAGCCCCTAACTCAAGGTGAAATCAAACTTACTTGGGTTTAAATGGGAGCTCTGCCACCCACCAGTTGTATTCCCCACTTAGATAAAGATGCTATGATTGGGTAGGCCCAGGTGGCTCATGTCTGTGATCCTAGCTACTCAGAAGGCTGAGATCTGAGGATCACGGTTCAAAGCCAGCCAGGGCAGGAAAGTCCATGAGACTCTTATCTCCACTTAATCACTCAAAAAGCTGGAAGTGGAATTGAGGCTCAAGGGGTAGAGCTCTAGCATTGAGTGGATAAAACTCATGGACAGTGCCTAGGCCTTTAGTTCAAGCCCAGGACCAGCACCAAATAAATAAAAAGAAAAAAGAAAAATGCCATCATTGCCTGGACGGAGTAACAACCGAGCTACTTTGTAGTGTCATTGTGATAAGTAGGTGCAAGGCAGTGGGCACAGGACCCCAAGGAATGTTAGCCACAGTTTTCTGTAGAGATGCCAGATGTGTAAGACCTGGTTCTGCTCATCAGGCGCTTGCTGTGTGTGCCAGGGCCATCACTTTGTCATTCACTCTCCTAAGCCTGTTCAGTGAGACGATTTTGATTTTACATGGTATGACTCCCCAAAGGTTCAATTCCCTTGTACCAACAACCACCACCAATCAATCAGTGACACTGTCTCAGTGGCAAATACTGTTATTTTTTAATGCTATAGCAGGGGTTTTGTTGCGTTTAAAACAAAGTCTCTCTGTGTAGTCTAGGTGGTCTTGAACTCTTGATCCTCCTGCCTGTTTCCCAAATGCTGGGATTACAAGCAGGTAACACTACACTTGGCACCTGCAGCATATTTTAAAATAAGAGTTTTTCTTACAGGAGTGGGAAAGAAATAACATGTGTTAAAGAGAATAGGAGAAGGCAATTGGAGGCAGCTCTTGGTCCCAGCTGGATGACAGGCTCTATCACTCCCCCTGGGCAGGAACCCCTCACTTGCCTGGGCTCCTCAGCTATTCGAGGCAATGTCTTGTTCTTCTCTGCTTATATGTTAACCTTCAGTTCACCTTCACATTTCATCTCATGTACTTGTGATGAGCAAAAGGAATTCTAAAATTGAGGTCATTCTATCAAAAAAGGAAAGGAAGCTGGGCATCAGTAGCTCAGGCCTATAATTCTAGATACTCAAGAGGCTGAGAGCTGAGGATCACCTTGTAAAGTCAGCCTGGAGAGGGAAAGTCTGTGAGACTCCCCCCTTCCCCCAGTCCTGGGCCTCTCTGTACTCAAGGCTAGCACTCTACCACTTGAGCCACAGCGCCACTTCTGGCTTTTTCTGTTTATGTGGGTAGTAAGGAATCGAACCCAGGGGTTCAAGCATGCTAGGCAAGCACTCTACCACTAAGCCACATTCCCAGCCACGTGAGACTCTTATCTCCAATTAATCACAGAACTGGAAGTGAAGCTGTGGCTCAAAATGGTGGAGTGCTAGCCTTGAGCCGAAGAAGCTCAGGGAGCCCAGGCTCTCGGGGCTGACGTCTGTAATCTTAGCTACTCAGGAAGCTGAGATCTGATGATCAAAGTTTGAGGCCAGCCCAGGCAGGAAAGTCCATGAAACTCTTATCTCCAACAAACCACCAGAAAACTACGAGTGGCCTTATAGCTCAGTGGTAGAGTGCTAGCCTTGAGTGGAAAAGCTCAAGGACAGCACCCAGACCCTGAGTTCAAGCCCCAGGACTGACCAAAAAAAAAAAAAAAAAAAGCTCAAGGACAGGGCCCTGGCCCTGAGTTCAAGTCCCAGGATGGGCACCAAATAAAAGGGAAAGGAGTCTGTCTGAGTTTTTTTTTTTTTTTTTTTGCCTATGCTTTTACACAGGTTGGCAGGAAAGGGACAACGCTGTCCAGAATAGCTAGTAGATCTGTGTTTGTTTGAAGGGCAGGAACGTGATGGAATAGTACTGTGGAGAAAACATGGAAAGACAGTGAGAAGGAGGGCAGTGGCCTCCTGGAGGCTGACTTATGCAGCACCCCTGCTTTCTAGAGCCTAAAAGCTGCAAGGACCTGGGAATGGTAGCAGAAGGGCCTAGACCTGGACCCCTTCTGCCCCTCCCATTCCCAGTGAGGGGTACCAAGGTCTTCTCCTTGTTGGGTGGAAACCTTTCATTTCTAATGAGGGCAATGAACTGAGTTGAAAGCATCCGTCATAATGTGGATTTCAGGTATGTTAGCTCTACTTCTAATCCCTTAATCCCGCCTGTAACGTGGACTCATACTTCATTTCTTTGTGTGCAAAAGCCATGGTGCTTACAACAGGGTGCTGTTCGTTCAGCTGTCACAGCGAATTTGTGCATGGATCCATCAACAACAGAATTCAGAGAGATAATGAACACCAGTGCATTCAACCTGAAGCAGTGGATGATCTGATGAGGGACTCAGAAAGCAGAGATGTCTGCTTTCTCACATGGGGTGAAAATAAAAAGCCTAGGTCCATAGGATTTATTACATAATAATATAGCTCAGGCATAGTATGTCTCCTGTGGGTGGACAAAAAAATTAGCTGTCCACTTTCTAAGTTACTAAAAGAAATATAGTCAGCTGGGTGCCAATTGCTCACACCTGTAATCCTAGCTACTCAGGAGGTTGAGATCTGAGAACTGCCATCCCAGGCAGAAAAGTCCCTGTGAGACTCTTATCTCCAATGAACCACTCAAAGTGGCATTGTGGCTCAAGTGGTAGAGCACAAAGAAGCTCAGAGACAGCACTCAGGCCCTGAGTTCAAGCCCCACAACTGACAAAAAAAAAAAAAAAAAGAAGAAAAAAGAAATGTTGTACATTGCCTCCTTTGAAGAAGTATGCTGGGATCCACAGATTAATGGGGACAGGAGGATATGGAGATGGTTGGTTTCTTGGTTTGTCATTTGTTTTTGGTTTTGCTTGTGTATGTGTGTTACTAGGATTTGAATTCATAGTTCTGCACACTCAAGCCACACTTCCACACTTTTTCCTTAGGTTGTTTTTCAGGTAGGGTAGACCTCATGTTTTTACCTGACTGACCTTGGATTCTACTACCTATGTCTCCTGTGTAACTGGAATCACAGGTGTAAACCAACACTTCTGGCTTATTTGTTGAGAGGCATGGGGAGGTATTTCAATAACTTGTTGCCTGGCTTCTTCTGAACCTCAATCTTCCCTCTCTCTACCTCTTGAGTATCTAGAATTACAGGTGTGAGCTACCACTTTGAGTGATGCTGCTTCTTGTGTTTGATTTGTGTGTGTGTGTGTGTGTGTGTGTGTGTGTGTGTGTGTGTGCTGGTCTTGGAGCTTGAACTCAGGGCCTGGGCACCATCTCTGAGCATCTTTTTGCCCAAAGCTATTGCTTTACCAGTCAAGTCACAGCTCTACTTCCAGCTTTTTTGGAGTAGTTTATTGGAGATAAGAGTCTTCATGGATTTTCTTGCCTGGGCTGGCTTTGAACCATGATCTTCAAATCTCAGTCTCCTGAACAGTTAGGATTACAGATGTGAGCCACCAGTACCTGGAGGTTAAATTTTTTTGAATTGTTATTATAATAGTGATGCATAGAGCAGTTTTAGTTACACGAGTCAGGTAATGAGTACATTTCTTTGGACACTGTCACTCCTTCCCTCAGCATCTCCCAATTTTTTCCTCCTGTTCCCACCCACAAGTAGTATAGTTCATTTTCCACATAGTGTCTGGTGAGAACCACTGCTGCATTTTTTGTTTGTGTTTTTGAGATTTACTATGTCTTACTATGAAGCCCAGGCTGTCATTGAACTCAAAAATCCTTTTCCCTTTGCTTGCTGAGACCTAGGATTTTAAGTGTGCACTCCATGCCCAGCTGGATTTGCTTGGATAAGCGATCATGTGCAGGTACCTATACATAGGTACCAAAATAACATTTTATAAGGGAAGTAGCTATTTGCATTTTCATGCAGAGAGAAAACAGGTCAATCTTGTTATTTGGTATAATCCCAGTGCCCAACCAGAGCTGACCTGTTGTAGGCATTTATATCCATAAATAAAATACTTGATGAATAACTTAAACCAAATGGAATGAAACACTTTTTTTTGGGGGGGGAGTCTGGTCGTGGGGCCTGAACTCTGGGCCTGGGCACTGTCCCTCAGCTCTTCCCAGCTCAAGGCTAGCGCTCTACCACTTGAGCCACAGTGCCACTTCTGGCTTTTTTCTTTTTGCTTATGTGGTGCTGAGGAATCGAACCCAGGCCCTCAGGCATGCAAGGCAAGCGCTCTACCACTGAGCCACCTTCCCAGACTGAAATACTTTTTGTATAAAAGCTATCAGTGTTGGAAGGGGTGATATTAATCAAGATGCATTGTACTCATACACTGACATATTAAATAGAAATTTCTTTGTACAATGGCTTAAGAATAATGAAAATAGCCTGGTGCCAGTGGCTCATGCCTGTAATCCTAGCTACTCAGGAGGCTGAGATCTGAGGATTGCAGTTCAAAGCCAGCCTGGGCAGGAAAGTCCACGAGACACTTATATCCAATAAATTAACCAGAAGTGGCTCTGTGGCTCAAGTGGTAGAGTGCTTTCCTTGAGCTGAAGAGCTCAGGAACAGTGCCCAGGCCCAGAATTCAAGCACCACAACCAACCAAAAAAGTCCTGGGGGTGCCAACACTGTGGGGAGCTAGCTGTACACATCACCTCCTTGTCACTTCTCATAGCAAGTCTGAAAGACCAGAATGTCCCCATTTCACAGATAAGGAAACTGAGGTCTCAGCCTGGCAGGACCTTGTCTGATTCCATAGCAAAGAAGTGGAACTAGGTTTCACATTCACCCTAGATTGCTTCAGCTGAGGGAAGGCAGGGAGATCAAACAAATAAAAAGGAATTACACTTCTCTTAGGAGCTTGCAGGTAAGACAAACCTGAAAGCTGTAAATCTGGAGCCAGAAAGTTTTAGTGGTTATTTAGTAGACTTTCCAAAATTGACATTGCGTTCATAAGTATAAATGTTGTAGCTAAAGCAAAAGATGCCAACTCACATAGAACTTATGGCATGATTTGTGGAGAAATAAATTTTACACAAAGATGTGTTGTGTGCACACGTATGTGTGTGTGCGCACGTGTGTGTGTGTGTGTGTGTGTGTGTGTGTGTGTGTGTATTCTACCACTTGAGCCACAGCTCCCTGTTTTTTTTTTTTTTTGGTAGTTATTTATAGAGCAGAGTCTCATAGACTTTCCTGCCTGGGATGGCTTTGAACCTTTTTTTGTCAGTCGTGGGGCTTGAACTCTGGGCCTGGGCGCTGTCCCTCTGCTCTTCAGCTCAAGGCGAGCGCTCTACCACTTGAGCTACAGCGCCACTTCCAGTTTTCTGGTGGTTTATTGGAGATAGGAGTCTCACGGTCTCTCCTGCCCCGGCTGGCTTTGAACCACGATCCTCAGATCTCAGCCTCCTGAGTAGCTAGGATTACAGGTGTGAGCCACCAGCGCCCGGCTGGCTTTGAACCTTGATCTGTAGTTCTCAGCCTCCTGAGTACATAGGATTACAGGCATGAACCACTGGTACCTGGCCACAAAGCTTTTTGTGTTTTTGGGAGTACACGTAGGTGGGAAGGGGCTTGACTTAGATCAGTAGCATACTGTACACACACACACACACACACACACACACAATTTTTTGTGCTTGAGCTTTCTAGATAGGTGCTCTACCACCTAAGCCACACTATAACCCCATAATATATTTTTTAATGTACTAGATTTTGGTGTGACACATTTCCCTCAGCTTTCTGCTTTACAGGTGGTGCCTGTAGAACACACTCTTGGTGGGCAGGTGGAGGGACACAGGTGTGTGGCCGTGATTCCTTCACTTCAGGACTGGGCTAATCATGGTAGTGATCTGAAAATGTAATTTGGCAGGAATATATGATTATATTAACATATTTGTGTTAACTACTTAAGATAATTATTACCAGAGCATCTTTTGGGCTCAAAAAGCTGTTTGTGCCCTGAATCTCAGAAAATTGTTCCTGCCAGGTGCTCTCCTCCCCTCCTCTCCCAGCTTTTTCTCATCTAGACTGATGCTCTACCACTTGAGCCACACTTCCACTTCCAGCTTTTCTCTGGTTAATTGGAAACAAGTGTTTCATGGACTTTGCTACCTGGGCTGGCTTCAAGCCACAGTCCTCAGATCTTAACCTCCTGGATAGCTAGGATTGCAGGCATGAGCCACCAGCATATTTATTTCTTTGGGTGGGGGGAGTGTTGGGGATTGAGCCCAGGTCATTGTTTATGCAAAGCACATACTCTATAACTGAGATATACATTAAGTACCAAGCATGTAGATTTACACACACTCTCTCCCCCCCCCTCCTTCCTTCCTTCCTTCCTTCCTTCCTTCCTTCCTTCCTTCCTTCCTTCCTTCCTTCCTTCCTTCCTTCCTTCCTTCCTTCGAACTGGTTCTTAATATGGTCTGGGACTCCTGGGCTCAAATAATTCTCTTTCCTTAGCCTTCTGCATCTCTGAGACTATAACACTGTAAGCTTGTGTCAGCATGCACTGCTTCTTTCTTCACTTTTTGTAAGTTCTTTTTAAGAATTGTTCTTGATACCCTTCATACTTTCTAGGTAAAGTCTAATCTCATTAGCGCCACCCACAGGGCACTCTGCAATCTCAGCTAGCCATGTCCTCTAGCCAAAGTTCCCCTGTGCCATCCTGGACCTCACAGAAGCTGTTCCATACACTCAGCTCTTAGGAGAGCCTTGTGAGATCTCTCACCACTTTGTGTGTAGGGCTTTTTTTTTTTTTTTTTTTTGCCAGACTTAAGGCTTAAACTCTGGGCCAGAGTGCTGTCCCTGAGCTCCTTTTGCTCAAGGCTAGCACCCTACCACTTGAGTCATAGCACCATTTCTGGCCTTTTCTGTGATTTAATTGGAGATAAATGTCATACAGACTTTCCTGCCGAAATTGGCCTTGAACTGTGATCCTCAGATTTCAGTCACTTGAGTAGTTAATTACAGGCGTGAGTCACAGCGCGCAGTTTAGGCCATTGTTTTTTGTTTTTAAGTCTCTGTGTGTGTGTGCGTGCGCTCATGTGCCGGTCCTAGGGCTTGAACTCAGGGCCTAGTGCTGTCCCTGAGAATTTTTACTCAAGGCTAATACTACCACTTGAGCCATAGCTCTATTTATAGTTTTTTGGTGGTTAATAGGAGATAAGAGTCTCATAGACTTTCCTGCCCAGACTGGCTTCAAACTCAGATTTCAGCCTCCTAAGTAGCTAAGATTATAGACATGAGCCACCCAGCACCTGGCTTCTTTATCTTTTATATAGGAGTTAATAGACATATCCAAACAAGAAAAAAAGTCCCAAAAGTACAATTCACTTGGAGTTTTTTTTCTTCTCTTCCTTCCTCCTTCCCTTCCAACATTGCTATAATCATATCATAAAAATAAAGACTGTTAGCTTTGCTGGGTGCCAGTGGTCATGCCTATAATCCTTGCTACTTAGGAGGCCAAGATTCAGGATCAAGGTTTGATGTCAGTCTAGGCAGGCAAACTCATGAGACTCTTACCTCCAGTTAATCAGCAAAAAATACTGTTACTGGAGGCGTTACATCTGCTTCTTGATATCATTTACTTTCCCAAGAGAACAACTAGCGAGTTGTGTTTTCGCCTTTCTATTTACTTTCAACTGAAAGAACCAAAGAATTAACTCTAAACCTTTTCCACTGCAGAAGAGAGTGACTCCTGCGTCGCCCAACCCAAACCATGTGCAGCGGGAAGTGAATCCGTGTTTCGTGGCCGCACACAGAGGGAGAGTCGTCCCCCACTAGAGAAGCCCAAGGCTTCAGTGGTGCCTACAGCTAATGGAGTTCAATCCCACTATGAACAGCCACTGGCGAAGGAAGTCACCCCTGAAAAGGACACTACAGAACAGTTGAGACCCACGGAGGAGTCTCAGCCTCTAGAGGGACAGGAAGATTCTGGGCCGTCACAGCTGGCTGGCAAAGATGATGCCCCAGGAGCAGAAGAAAAGACAAGCCATGTGGAGGCTCCACCTTTGAAAGCAAATGCTGAGTGTGAACCTTTAGGAACAGAAGCTGAGGATCAGCCTTTGAGGACAGCCAGGGAGAGGGACTCTCCTGGAGCAGGAGAAACTCCTGAAAATCCACAAACTGCTGGAATCCTGAAGCTAGAGACAGCAGAGAATGTTCTAGAAACAGCTGGAGAGCTACAGTCTCAAGCAATGGAAAAGGATGAGCAATCTCAGCTTCCAGAAACAATTACCAAAGAGAACAACTCTCCAGAAATAGTAGAAGAAAGTGAGTTACTGGAAACAGTTGAAGACCAGACACTTCCAGAAACATCGGGAAAAGATGAGCAGTTGCAAGGTCTAGGAATTCCCAAAGAGAATGAGACACCAGCAATATCAAATGGAAGTCACCTTGTGCAAACACCTGTAATGAATGAGTCACTCCCTAAACCTCCTGAAGGCTCCAGAAGCATGGAGAAGATTCCACCCGAAGGGATCATTGGAATCTTGGAACATCCAAAGGGAAATTCAGAGACAGCAGCAAATGTGGAAATGGCCAGAGAAATCCACACAAATGCAGAGGAAGAGTGTGTTGAAGGTGAAACTTAGGTGTCCCAGATTGATGTTGTTTAGACAGGCTTTGTAGGAGGCCAGTTCTCAGGGCAGGGTACCTAATACAGTCATTGAAGTCTGTCAGTTGGTTGATGTTCATTTGACTCAAAGCAAAAGACTTCTATATTTGGGGAATAGACATTCCATCAGTGCTCAGTTCAGCTTTCTAGCATTTTTTTTTTTGCGGGGGAGGTTAGGGTCCTCTAGCTTGAATTCAGGGCTTAGGCACTGTCCTTGAGCTTTTGTCTCAAGGCTAGAGCTTGAATTACAGCTCCACTTCCAGCTTTTTGGTGGTGAATTGGAGCTAAGAGTCTCATGGACTTTCCTGCCTGGGCTGTGATCCTCAAATCTCATCTTCTTGTGTAGCTAGGATTACAGGTGTGAGCCAACACCAAGCTCGGTCTTTCTCTTTTTTCTTTTTTTGTTGGTCATGGGGCCTGAACTCTGGGCATGGGTGCTGTCCCTTAGCTCTTCAGCTCAAGGCTAGCGCTCTACCACTTGAGCCACAGCGCCACTTCCAGCTTTTTCTGCATATGTGGTGCTGAGGAATTGAACCCAGGACCTCATGGATACAAGACAAGTGCTCTACCACGGAGCCACCTTTCCAGCACCCACTCTTCTTTTTCTTAATTTTTACTTTTTTTTTTTGTGTCCGGTTGTGGGGTCTGAACTCTGGGCCTGAGCACTGTCCCTCAGCTCTTCAGCTCAAGGTTAGCGCTCTACTACTTGAGCCACAGCGCCGCTTCCGGCTTTTTTCTTTTTGCTTATGTGGTGCTGAGGAATCGAACCCAGGGCCTTGAGCATGCAAGGCAAGCACTCTACCTACCACTGAGCCACCTTCCCAGCCCGACTTCCGGCTTTTTTCTTATGTGGTGCTGAGGAATCGAACCCAGGGCCTCAGGCATGCAAGGCAAGCGTTCTATCACTGAGCCAACTTCCCAGCCCTTTTTCTTAATTTTTAAATATTATCGTTTCAATAGTTGTATAAAGGGATTTTAATTTAGCATATCAGTTGCACAGTTTTTCTGAAATATAGTGTATAGTCCAAACCTTTTTTTTTTTTTTTTTGCCAATCCTGGGGCTTGAACTCAGGGCCTGGGTCCCTGTCCCTGAGCTAGCACTCTACCACTTGAGCCACAGTGCCCTTTCTGGCTTTTTCTGTTTATGTGACACTGAGGAATTGAACCAGGGCTTTTCATGCTACACAAACACTTTACCACTAAGTCACATTCCCAGCCCAATAGTCCAAGCTTTAAGCCTAGAGTTTGATGGTTGAATAGAATCAATCATTGAAGGCTAAAATTTCTAGATTTTTCCAAGTTCTTCAGATTCCATGTATGGTCTGAGTACTTTTTTTTAATTTTAATTTTATTGCCAAGGTGATGTACAGAGGGGTTACAGTTGCATAAGTAAGATAGTGAGTACATTTCTTGTTGAACTTGTCTCCTCTCCCTCATTTTTCTCCCTCTTTCCCTACTCCCATTTCTCTCCAAGGTGTACAGATCATTTCTAACATAGTGTTGCTGTCTCATTGGTTCCCCCTTTGTCTCACTATTTTTTTGTTCGCCTCCCTTCCCTTCCCTAATTAAGATAAACATATATATACACACACACACACACACACACACACACACACAATACCCAAGTACCAAAATCAAACACATGACAACGGGGGATTAAACCAAGGGGGCGGGGGAGGACTCACAAAAGAAAAAACGAAATCATGTAGTACATTAAAAACACCACCACCACCAGGAAGAACAAAGGCTGCCCATTGGAAAGCTACGTAGCAGGATCATTTCTTGTTCATGGTGAGTGTCTCTTAAAATCTCCTTTGGTTTCTTTCCAGGTGAGACAGGAGAAAAGGTGGAAACAGAGATGGAGAATGAGAAAGCAAGCAGAGGGGCTGAAACAAAAGAGGAGGAAACCGAAGCTGTGGATCTGTCAGCAGCCCCATAGATGGGGTGGTGAAGGAAAGCTGTGCTGTCCTGTTACAAGCTGAGGTTATGCATCTCACCTTGCCACAGCTCCATGTTTTATAGCAAGACTATGCTTAGATATACACTGCTGGAACCACGAGAATGATGTTAGGTTCTTGTCTGTATTAGTCCATAAAACTGCTAAGCTGGAGACAGTTTTCTTAGTTACTTAGGATAATTATACACTTAACAGTCAGCGCCAGTAAAAACTGGGACATTTGATCGTTGAAGAGTGTAAGAGTGACTCATTCGTTGTGGCAATGGAATAGAAAAATGAGACCTTGAAAAGAAAGTGTAAACCTTTAGATCTACATGGCTAGAGAAAGAAGTGAGTGCACTCTGGGGAACTCACAGTAGTGAAGTCATATAGTTGTGATGATGATGGAATAAAAATGAAAACCATCAAAAATCATAGGATAACATATTCCTATGATTTCTGGCATGTCATAGTTAATAGGAACCTTTTGAGCTTTAATCTAATTACTTTCTCTCTATAAGGCTACCCAATACTAGATTCCCAGACAGCAAGGTATAATAAATGCTTTCATTTTGGTGCTGATAGATTAGGCCTCTTTCACCATGAAAGGCTCCACATTTTCCATGTGCCATTTGAGACAGCTAGTGGTTTTACTTACATTAGGCATTTCAAATGTTATCCATTTGACTAACATTAAAAGAATTTTAAATGAATTGATTTTGAATGTAGTACAGAGGCAACAAGTGGCCACATTAAGTCCTAGATGTATTGTCCACACAGAGTCTTCTGAGCCCTATTCTTTTTTAGATGACTGCAATTTAGTGTTAGGTTTTAGTAGATATAGCTTTAAAAAAAAACAACCCAAGATTTAAAATAACACAATATTTTATTAAAATGATGCATCACAGAAATAACTTTTTGTTTTTTGTTGGTCATGAGGCTTGAACTCAGGGCCTGGGCACTGTCCCTGAGCTTTTATTGCTCCAGCCTAGTGCTCAACCACTTTGAGCTACAGCTCCACTTCCAGCGTTTTGGTGGTTGAGATATGAGTCTAATGGACCTTCTTTCTAGGGCTGGCTTCTAACCATGAGCCTCAGATCTCAGTCTCCTGAGTAGTTAGGATTACAAGTGTGAGCCACCAGTGCCTGTTTAAAAAGTAATTTTTAAAGAATTCTTCCAGAGCCAATCCAAGGGAGTTTTAGTAAACCCCATACTGACTTTGTGACTAATAATATAAGTTAACTTATCCATTGTTAAGTGCCTTAAATTCATGAATAACAGAATCCAATTCTGAAAACATTTGGTAGACTATGTTTGTAAATATGTATTTTAAGGTAAGTGCTTAAATTAACTAGGCTCTTTTAGATAAGTCTCACATTAAAATGCTACTAATATAGCCTGTGGTTAATTATTAAAAATACAGGACACAGATAAGAGGGTATCATTTTTATTTTGATTTGAATATTAGCTTAATGTATCTTATTTTGGAGTTTGGTTAAATAACAGGAAAGATTTCTTGAGTAGGTGCTCTCTCTTGCCTGGCTGACCTGTATGATCTCATTGAGAGTAAGTACTGTTTTTTTAATGTAGCATTCAGTTTAGGTATTTAGCTCTTTAGGAACATAGTAAGTATTCTATTTGTTGAATCAACACATGAATAAATAATACCAAGTGTTCAAATTTACATTGATTAAAAAATAATACATTTAAAATATGAATTTGTGTGATACTACCCCAGTTCTATCTGGAAAATGGAGGAAAATTCATTTTCATGTCAAGAATTCTCAAGTTCAGTTGAGTGTAGTTCCAGGACCAGGGTGCTGTCTCTGAGCTTTTTTTTCCCCCCAAGGCTAACACTCTACCACTTGACCCACAGCACCACTTCGGGCTTTTTGGTGATGAATCGGAAATAAAAGTCTCACCTACTTTCTTGCTGGGGCTAGCCTTGAACCATGACCCTCAAATCTCAGCCCTCTGAGTAGGTAGGATTACAGGTATGAGCCAGCAGCACCCAGCAAGCATTCCATTTTTCTAAAGATAGTTTAGGCCCCAGGACCCCATGGAAAGTCACAGGCCAAAAGGTATCTTTCCAAACATAGCTGTACCACCAGCAGTTCAATGAGAGGACAAAAGTAGTTGATTTTAACTAATAGTCAATGAGTCAGTATGGCTCAATTTCAAGTTTCATGGATATCAGTTACTAAAATCTTTTTTATTTTGGTAAAAAATAAGTTTCTGTGTAGGTATTCTCTATAACACGAATGACAATTTAAGTAATATTTTTTTTTTTTGTCGGTCGTGGGGCTTGAACTCTGGGCCTGGGCGCTGTCCCTCAGCTCTTCAGCTCAAAGCGAGCGCTCTACCACTTGAGCTACAGCGCCACTTCTGGTTTTCTGGTGGTTTATTGGAGATAGGAGTCTCACGGTCTCTCCGGGCTGGCTTTGAACCGCGATCCTCAGATCTCAGCCTCCTGAGTAGCTAGGATTACAGGCGTGAGCCATCAGTGCCCAGCTGACAATTTAAGTAATATTTGCAAGAAAAGATTTATATATTTTTCTTAGTCACAGATGCATACATTTCCATTTAACATCAGACAACAAACTTTAAAAGGTGAAATCTAACTATTACCATTCAATTAGTCAAGAACAGCACTGTTAATATGTTCATGTATATGCAGGATTGTTATATATATTTGTTTTTTTTTTTTTTTTTTGCCGGTCATGGGGCCTGAACTCTGGGCTTAGGCGCTGTCCCTCAGCTCTTCAGCTCAAGGCTAGCATTCTACCACTTGAGCCAAAGTGCCACTTCTGGCTTTTTCTGCCTATGTGGTACTGAGGAATCAAACCCAGGACCTCATGCATGCAAGGCAAGCACTCTACCACTGAGCCACCTTCCCAGCCCTGTTATATATATTTTAGTTGCAAACTTGCTACAATTAGTTAAAACAGGGTATTTATTAGAGTGTCAAGTCCATTGAGCATTTAAGGTTCTCCTCACTGGAGATAACTGGAGTTATAGAGAAGGTTCCAGCACTTGCTATAGAGTAGTAAATATAAGATCAGCACTGTTAATACTTATGAGTCATAGATGAACATTTACTGAAATGGAATGTTTGCTCTTACGTTTTCTTGCAGCGCTGGGACTCACCAGAGCTTAGTACATGGTAGGCCAGTGTTCTACTACTGAGATACATACTCAGCCTTGGAATTTTTTTTAAGGTTTTCCAATTGCTGAACCAATGGAAGACTTGAGAAGAGATTGTAAGCCCTTTTGAGGGCAAGAGAGGTGGTTCATACTCATTCATTTCCCCACAGGGCTTAGTACAAATCTGGTGTTCTATACTTGATTACAAATGTTCTTTCCTCTTAATCATAACAATATTCTTATAACTAAATTGGCTATAGGAAAATTACAGCCAAAGTGTTTTTTAAAATACAATCATTATCTTTATAATAAAAATATATATTAAAAAATACAATTGCTTTGTACTGATGGTTCAACATTTATACATTGATTGAGTTATTACAGCTAATAAAGTGTCTGAATTTATTTATCTGAATTATTACATAAACTTAAAAACTGTTTTGACCCATTAAGTTCCTTAGGAAGAAAAAGCAAACTTTAAATTATGTACTCTCGAAGATAAGGACTATTAAAATAAGAAAGAAAAGCTGGTATCTCTTCTTGGCTATCTTATACTTCAATGGACTGCTGTGACTGGAAATAGGTTTGAAAAACCAACATGTAGTATTTATTTTTTGTCACAAGTAATAAAACCCATTGCCTCTTCTATGGGGTAGAAAATAAGTCTCAAAATCCTGACCCAAGCCGTTCACAAGTCAATTAAGTTGATTACCTACATTTTACCTCCAGCTCTTTTATTTACTTATTTTTGTGATAATTGGGCTTGAACTTAAGGCCTCATGCTTGCTGGGCAAGGTGCTCTACCACTTGAGCCATTCCCTAGCCCTTTTTGCTTTAGTTATTTTGGGGATAGGGCCTCTAGATTTTTTCTATGCCTTCCTGGATTGTGATCCTCCTCCTCATGCCTCCTGCAGAGCTGGGGTGATACCAGTTTATTGGCTGACGTAGATTCACACTTTTTTTTTTGTCGGTGGTGGGGCTTGAACTCTGGGCCTGGGCGCTGTCCCTCAGCTCTTCAGCTCAAGGCGAGCGCTCTACCACTTGAGCTACAGCGCCACTTCCGGTTTTCTGGTGGTTTATTGGAGATAGGAGTCTCACGGTCTCTCCTGCCCGGACTGGCTTTGAACCGCGATTCTCAGATCTCAGCCTCCTGAGTAGCTAGGATTACAGGCGTGAGCCACCAGCGCCAGGCCGATTCACACTTTTTTTTGCCAAACCAAGATCTTTCTTGTGAAGTAGCTGGGATGACAGGCAGGAGCCACCTCACCTCTTCAAGCCTCATTCTAGTGTTTGATTTTAAAGTCTTATGACCTATATGAAACCTCAGCTGGCTAGAATATCTGATTTCCTAGCTTAGAGTGATTGGTGCTTTTCTAACCTGAGCTGAACCAACCTGACAATCTCCTGTCAGATCCAGGAAATGGTGCTTTCTGCTGGGGTCAGTACACTGGTAGACAAAGCATATTGGCTTGTAGCCATCTACTAGTTATATGCAAACCTTCTAGCAATGAATCCTCCTCTTTTTTTTTTTTGGTTGTGGGGCTTGAATTCAGGGCTTGCGGTGCTTTCTCTGAGCTTTTCTGCTCAAGGCTAGCATTCTACCACAGCTTCACTTCTAATTGGAGATAAGAATTCCACAGACTTTCCTGCCCAAGCTGGCTTCAAACTGTGATCCTCAGATCTCACCCTTCTGAGAAGCTAGGATTACAGGCATGAGCCACCGGCACCTGGGTCCTCCTCTTTTTAATAGGGAGGAAAAAGGTTTTAGGTCCACAGTTTAAGAGGTTTCAGTTACTGAATAATTGGTCCTGCCGCCTCGGGCCTGTGGTAAGATGGTGGTGGTAACAGGCAGTTGTGGTAGAGGAAGCTGCATACATCACGCTGCTCTAGAAGCAAAACAAAGAGACGGGGGACTCGCTCTTTCAAAGGCACGCACCTACGACTTCACTTCTTTCCACTGCTAAAAGTCTATCTCTCAGGAGTTGCAGGTCTTTGGGGTATGTTCAAAATCCAAACTACATCAGAGAAGTGAATGGAATGAGTTTCCTTTTTTAATCTACATAATTCTGTATGAATTTATTCTATAACGAGATAGTATTAATGTAACTGTTGTCATAAACTGAGGAAAAACCTGAGAGCCAAGTGTATGGTGAGCACCTGTGGTCCCAGCTGCTCAGAGGTGGGGCCAAAGACTGCCTGAGCTCAGGAGTTTGATGCCAGCCTGGACAACACGACAAGATCTACCTTACTTCCCAACAAACACACACAAAAGACTTTAAAGAACGAACCAAATGGTTACATGTAAATTGTATAGCCCAATTACATGTGTGAAAATGTAAAGATCGACAAAGTGAGACGAAACAGCTGCGACTGACCGCCATGGTTTCCACTTTTCTTAGGTACTGCACTTTCACGTATAATTTAAAACTGTTAAAAATAAGCAAACAGCCCGGCGCTGGTAGCTAATGCCTGTAATCCTAGCTCATCAGGAGGCTGAGATCTGAGGATTGCGGTTCAAAGCCAGCCCAGGCAGGAAAGTTGGTGAGACTCTTATCTCCAATTAGCCACCAGAAAACAGGAAGTGTGCTGTGGTTCAAGTGGAAGAGCGTTAGCATTGAGCTGAAGAGCTGAGGGACAGCGCCCAGGCCCAGAGTTCAAGCCTCACGACTAACAACTCCCCCTCCCCCCGGTCCTCCCCCCAGTCCCCCCCCCCTCAAAAAACAAAAACAAAATCACATCGCAGGAGATTACATGCTTATTTATTTCCATTAGAAAAATATTACTCATATAAAATTTTGGTCCACTTCCTTCTCCTTTACCTATACTATTCAAGTTTGAGTAATTCTACTCACATCTCTAAAATGTGTATTTTATTTTATTAAGTAAATAATACCTTTTCCTTTATTTTTATTTGAAGTATGTAATTAATGTCTCTGCACACTTGTAATTAGCCATATAAGTATAGAAAAGTGTAATTTATAGCATCAGTAACTTCATCATTTTCATTGTCTAATCTTTCCTATGTATGGAATTTCCACAATAACCATCCATTTGTGAAAATTAATGTTAAAGATAGGACGAAAACCCCCGAGTAAAGCACACTGTGGCCACTTATAACGAAGCTGTAGTGAGAGGCCCTTGGACAGCTATAGCTTCAATTTCAACATGGGCTCCCTGTAAGGAAAACAGAATATTTCCATCAGTAAGGAAGCTAAAACTGGCCACTGCTGACTCATGACTGTACTCCTAGCTATACAGAACACAGATCTGTTCCTGGTTTGAAGACAACCCAGGCAGGAAAGTCTGTGAGACTTATCTCCAATTAACCACTAAAACAAAAAAACAAAAAAAAGAGCTAAGTACCTGCTAAAACACACACAACTAACCACATTCACATTTTCAACAAAGGGAAGGGATAGAGAAAACTCACTAAGAAGCTACATCATATCTGGACACTGGAAGCTCATGCTTATAATCCTTTGCTACTCTGGAGGCCGAGATCTCAGGATTATAAGCCAAAGCTAGGTGGGAAAGTCCATGGTGCTAGCTTTGAGCACAGAAGCTCAGGGATAGCACTCAGGCCGAGTTCAAGCCTCAGTACTAGCACCCCCCACCCCCTACCCCCCAAAAAAAGGAAATGACAACAGGCCAGGTTACCATGACAGGTACACATGGACTCATTTCATTTTCACAGCATCCTGACAGATAATTATTCTCCCAATTCAGAAAATGATACATTAAGACTTACAAAGGCTAATTTATGGGCCCCAAGTCACAAAGGTAACTAGGAGAGGTTTAAATTCATGTACTATGATTTCAGGTTCTGAGCTCCTTCTACTATATCCAATACCTGAATAAGTTTGATGTTAATGATCATTCCAAGCAACAACCAATTAAAGCAATAAACATGCCATGCTTAGGAGATGTATTTCTTTGGTAGGAAGTGACAATTGAAAGCTGGTAAGAACTGCTTCTTTATAGGCAGGAAAACTGTGTGCCAGGAGGCCCAGGAAGAGTGTCTAATGAGGATAGAACACTCAAACAAGAATGGTGAAGTATGTGTACAACTGGTTTAGGGAGTATTTTCCAGGGGAAGGCCTAGAGGTTTTATTATACAAATAGCCAAGTGAAACTTTTATTGTAGAATTAAAAAGAAACCTTGGCTCAAATTTATAATTCCTTAAGGAATATTATAATAACACAGCTGCTTCGGTACTTTTTCTCATAGTTTAAGCACGCTGATTCTATTAAGTTCATGTGTTGCCTTATAAGATTTTTTTTATGCATGTAATATGAGTGTTTACTTTTAGACCTTAACTTCTTGGAATGTAGGGACTGTATCCTTTTCTTTTTTACTTATATATTCATTTTTTTGGTGGTTCTTGGATTGGAACTGCAAGTTTCACACTTGTAGGGAGGTGACTCTAGCCAAGCTATACCTCCCCTTTTTTTGCACTGGTTATTCTGATAGGGTCTTGTTTATATTTTTGTTTTGTTTAGGCCTGTGTCTGGACTGTGATCCTCTTATTTTATGCTTCCCACCATATCTGAGATCACAAGCATGGTCTACCACTCCCAGTTTCTTCCTTTGAGATAAGAGTCTCTTGGACTTTTGCCTGGGCTGACCTCCAATCTCAAACCTCTTGATTTCAGCCTCTAAGCTAGAATTACAGTCATGAGTCATACCATCTGGCTCCTTTCCTTTGTTTTTAAATTTCCTTTCATGGTGCTTCATTTCTTATATTCTGAAAAGAATGCAGCCATTTTAAAATGGTACATGGGAGCAATTTTAACATGTACTTACTATGGGTAAGGCAGCAACCTGGTAAGCAGATCGAGCTGGAAAATCACTCTTGAAAACTGAATGTAAAACAATTTCATTTTAGTTTCCACACACTGTATTCCTGCTTAACACTACAAACCCTTCAATGGACTAGTCAGTTCTTCATACAATGAACATTTCAGAGGTTCACATTCAGATTTGTTTGATAACATATTTTGCTATATGATTCCTATGATATTTGGTACTTTAAAAATTATTTTAGGTTTCTGGAGAAAGAAAGGGTAGAAAACATCCTCTATAATAAGTCTTGTTTAATGAGAATGCAGTTTGGTCTTTAAAGTACTATTTATAAACCATTCATTTAAATGGGGAACGTATCCCTACATTCATCAAGTTTGGCTTGTTCTTTCTCACCAACTTTGGTCTTCTCAGTCATTTCTTTGAGAGAGAATAAATGCTTTTGCTTTGTGCATGCCACCAGATGAAAGGGTGGTACTATGACCGCAATGACATGCTCTCAACATGTCAACCTCAGGGCTTTCTAGGCTGTAGTAATTCATTTATTGTTCCAACAGCCCTAAAAGGTAGCCCAATAAGGAGGTGTATTAGTCTCAATTTGCATATGGGGAAACTGAGGTACAGAAATGCCATGTAACTGGTTTGTGATTCTGACTGAGCCAGAGAAAAGACAATGGCTACTGCAATAATATCACTGTAATAGTAAACACAATTTATGTGATATAAAAAACTTTCAGGAGGGCTGGGAAGGTGGCTCAGTGGTAGAGCGCTTGCCTTGCATGCCTGAGGCCCTGGGTTCGATTTCCCAGCATCACATAAGCAAAAAGAAAAAAAAGCCGGAAGTGGTGCTATGGCTCAAGTGGTAGAGCGCTAGCCTTGAGCTGAAGAGCTGAGGGACAGCGCCCAGGCCCAGAGTTCAGGCCCCACAACCGGAACAAAAAAAAAAAAAAACTTTCAGGAGGGATTATAAAGCCTAAACAAGAAATAATAAACAAGCCTTGGAAAAATGGATTTGTAAGGGGTTTCCAATTGGTATGTTTCCAATCAGAGTATTATTTTAGGACAAGACGGCATTTCTTTAGCAGCTCCTGCCACTTATTTTTCTTTTCTTTTTTTTGAGACAGGGTCTCACTCTCTAGCACAGGCTGGCCCTGAATTCTCCTGATCCTCCTGCCTCAGTCTTCCCAGTGTTAGGATTACAGGCAAGTGCCACCATGCCTAGCTTTCTGTAGCTTTCAATTGATAATGGGTTCTCTTTTTTGTAAAAAGATTCTTTTCTCTTTAAGACAGGAAGTAGAAATTACTTACACTGTTTGTAGACTTCATTGACAGTACCAAAGTCATTCATGTCAGTCAGAAAGACAGTTGTTTTTACCACTAGAAGATACATACATTAGGTTAAGCCATTTGGTCTAACTCAAAATGTGACTTACAAACAAACAAACAAAAACCCCAAACCTCCACCCCTACCACCAACAAGAAAACTCAGAACAGCAGAAGACATAGAAATTAACAGTGAAGTAAAATCCAGTTGCTCACCATTGGTGAAGTCACAGCCTGCTGCTTTCAGAATTTCAAACATGTTTGTAAGAGCCTGAGAACCACAGCAAGAAAGGCCTGAGACACTGATATTTTATCAATTAAGTAAACTGAAATAAATTAATTAAATTAAATTTAATTAAATTTGAATCAAAGTCTATCAATTGCCTTTTGCTAGAACTCCTTAAAGAGCTTATGCTACAGAAATATTTCCCTTACTCTTTTGGGGATGCTTCTATAACAGTCAATTGTTTCTTGGTTTTATAAAATGAAAAATTGGTTTCTTTTCGTGAGTAAGAAGACTGAAACAAAGTCCCTTCTACAGGTCCAGGGTGTGGCACTTTTCCAGTTAATATCCATGAAGCTGACACAAAAATAACTTCTAGACACCTCACTCTGTACAAAGGATAAGATAGTAAGTATTGGGGCTGGGAAGGTGGTTCAGTGGTAGAGTGCTTGCCTTGCATGCATGAGGCCCTGGGTTTGATTCCTCAGCACCACATAAGCAGGGGAAAAATCCGGAAGTGGCGCTGTGGCTCAAGTGGTAGAGCGCTAGCCTTGAGCCTAAGAGCTGAGGGACAGCGCCCAGGCCCAGAGTTCAGGCCCACGACTGGACCAAAAAAAAAAAAAAAAAGAAAAAAAAATCCGGAAGTGGCACTATGGCTCAAGTGGTAGAGCGCTAGCTTTGAGCTGAAGAGCTGAGGGACAGCGCCCAGGCCCAGAGTTCAGGCCCCACGACTGGACCCCCCCCCCCCCGAAAAAAAAAAAAGAGTCTCATGGACTTTTCTGCTTGGGCTGGCTTCAAATTTTGATCCTCAGATCCCAGCCTCCTAAGTAGGATTACAGGCATACGCCACCACTGCCCAGCCTAAAATTTTGTTTTTAAAACAATATATGATGTCAAGAGTTTCTTTTTCCTGTATCTCAAAAAAAAAAAAAAAAATACTGAGTGAGCCAGGCAATGCTGGCTCATGCCTATAATCCTAGCTACTGAGGAGGCTGCGATCTGAGGGTTATGGTTTGAACCCACACTGAGAAGGAAAGTCCATGAGACTCTTATCTCCAATTAACTTTCAAAAAGCCGAACGTGGAACTGTGGCTCAAGTGGTAGAGCACTAGCCTTGAGCAGAGAAAGCTAAGGGAGCACAAAGCACCTAAGCCCTGTGTTCAAGCCTCAGTACCAGCATAAAACAACACCACCAACAAAAACCACCACTGAATGAATTATGTACGCATTTGACAATCTCGCCTCTAGAAAAACATCAGTTTTATTTTTATCCTGAACTTATAAATGAAAACATTCAGCACCCCTCTACTTTATTTGTGATACTTTGATATTTTATTATATTTTTGTGTTAAAGAAAACCTTCTAAATATGTACTTTATGTTAAGGTGAAAAAAATTCAATCATAAAAAAATCACATAAAGTTAAAAGACATCTCCCTTTCCCATTCCCTGTTGGCAATCATAACTACCTACCATGTCCTGGATAAAATGTCAGGGTGTATGCCGGCCAAACCTGTCCATTCTTCACCACAGACTCACACATGTGGTAGCACACTGTGCATGCTGTTCTGCAGTCTTGACTTTTTTTTTTTTGAGTCCAGTCGTGGGGCCTGAACTCTGGGCCTGGGCGCTGTCCCTCAACTCTTCAGCTCAAGGCTAGTGCTCTACCACTTGAGCCACAGCGCCACTTCTGGCCTTTTTTTTCTTTTTGCTTATGTGGTGCTGAGGAATTGAACCCAGGGCCTCAGGCATGCAAGGCAAGCGCTCTACCACTGAGCCACCTTCCCAGCCCCTGCAGTCTTGATTTTATCTTACCATGTAGCAATCAATATTTTCTATCACCTTCGTGGGACGTATTTAGCCAGTTTCTTACAGATGGTCTTTTAGGTTGTTTCCTATCAGTGGTTATTACAAAAGACTCAGTGAATATATTAAATTATAATTTAAAGCTGGGCACCAGTGGCTCACACCTGTAATCCTAGCTACTCAGGAGGCTGAGATCTGAAGATTGTGGTTCAAAGTTAGCCCAGACAGGAAAGTCCATGATATTCTTATCTCCAATTAACCACCAGAAAACCAGATGTGGTACTGTGGCTCAAAGTGGTAGAATGCTAGCCTTGAGCAAAGAGCTCAGGTACAGTATCTAGGCCCTGAGTTCAAGCTCCATGAGTGACAAAAATAAATAAGTACATAAATAGAATTAAGTTATATTATTGGATTAGGATTATAGTCCCCATTTCTTCTGTGGTGTAGCCCACATCCTTATACATGCTCTGAAAACATGCTACTGAGCTACATCCCCAGGCCCTAGTCTTTTTGAAAAACAAACAAAAAACAAAAAACAAAAAACCTTGCTACATTTAATCTTTGATATTTTTCTCTTACTAACAAATGCTATGGTGGTAGTGGAAGGGATCAAAGGTCAGTGGCCCTGAAAAGAAAATTTCCCAATCTACATGGAAGTGACAATATGTCATTTGATTTTGATAATTCGGGTTTAAAGTCACTTTAGTGATAAGGAGGTAGAATATTTCTCTTTGGTTAGCAAATGATTTATTACAGCTCTGACTCTTTTCCAAAAAACTGTCTTCAATCAAATAGTAGCTTAAAAAGGATTGATCTTTTAAGCTCTTTAACATCAGGCAAGTGGATCATTAATACTCCCTGGTATAAAAAAGCAGAAGAAAAGTGAACTTGAACTGTGGAGAATGACTTACTTGTTTTGCTTCTTCCGCCACCCCTCCTGGCACCAGCTTTCCACTTGAAGGGTCCAGGCCTACCTGCCCTGAAATGTACATAGTCCGGTCGACTAACACAGCGTGACTGCAACGACAAAGAGCCAGGGCATATATAAAATAAAGTGTATTATAAAACCCAACAGCAAAACAGCAATTTGATGACCTAAAAAGCACAATTTGTACAATGAAAAATTATAAATCAGTCTTCATTAAACAAAAAATGTTCATCGAAAATAGTTGTAAGAAATGGAAAGACAAGTCAGATTGGGAGAAAAATATTTGCAAACATGTCTATAAAGGACTTAGGTCCAGATTACACGAAAGAAACTCATACAGCTCAAAAATATGAAGACATACAACCCAACAAAATACAGTGAACACCATTTGTCTAATACCATTGGTCTATCTTTGTATATCTAAAAGCAAAGAACTAAGGAGTACATGAAAGTTGCTCAATAATATCAGCCATTAGAGATATACAAAGCAAAACCTGAAGATAGGAGTGCAAAAATGACACACCACCTTGGGAAACTATTATTCACTTTCCTAAAAACCTAAACACACACCCAGCAGTTCCCCCCACCACCTCCAGACAACTATCTAAGAGAAATGAAAACGTATGTCTAGGGGCTGGGAAGGTGGCTTAGTGGTAGAGTGCTTGCCTTGCATGCCTGAGGCCCTGGGTTCGATTCCTCAGCACCACATAAGCAAAAAGAAAAAAGCCAGAAGTGGCGCTGTGGCTCAAGTGGTAGAGCGCTAGCCTTGAGCTGAAGAGCTGAGGGACAGCACCCAGGCCCAGAGTTCAGGCCTCACACCGGACCCCCTCCCCCCAAAAATGTCTAGACACCTTACAGGGGCCTGGAGACATGGTTCAAGGGGTAGAGCTTCTGCCTAGCAAGTGCAAGGCCCTGATTTCAAATCTTAACCCTGCCACAAAGGCTTTTTATTTTTTATTTTTATTTTTTAAAAAGGACCTTACTTGAAATTTTAGAACATCATTGTCTATGATAACAAAAAAAGAAAATCAAAACCAGATTATTGATAAACAGTAACTAGAGAGGTCTGGGAAGGTGGCTCAGTGGTAGAGTGCTTGCCTCACATGCATGAGGCCCTGAGTTTGATTCCTCAGCACCACATAAGCAGAAAAAGCCAGAAGTGGCACTGTGGCTCAAGTGGTAGAGTTCTACCTTGAGCTGAAGAGCTGAGGGACCGTGCCTAGGCCCAGAGTTCAGGCCCCACGACTGACAAAAAAAAAAAAAAAACACCAAAAACAAAAAACAAAACAAAACAAAAAAAACCCCTAGAGATTATGTACTGTTGCTTTCACTCATATGAAATTTGAGAAAATATAAAATAGTAGTACTAAAAAGTACACTGGCTGTATGGGGCCAGAGTGTGGAATGAACACCAACAGCTATGAGAGATTGTATATTCCTTATACATTTACCAAAAGTTACAGAACTCTTCACTGAAAACAGTGATTATTTTAATAAGCAAAATAATTCAGTTGGGATACAAAAAAAAAAAGCCAGGGTACTTACAAAAAATAAGTAATTCATCAGGCTGATGGCTCCTGTTTGTAATCTTAGCTACTCAGGAGGCTGAAATCTGAGGATCATAGTTCAAAGCCCACCTGGGCAGAAAGGTCTGTAAGGCTGTTCAGTTAAGCATCAAAAAAGCTGAAAGTGGAGCTATGGCTCAAGTGGTATAACACTATCATTGAGCACAAAACACTTAGGGACAGTACTCAGGGCCTAAGTTCAAGCCCCAGGACAGGCACCAGAAAAAAAAAAAAAAAGCAATTTTCAGACAAGCCATTCCAATGGAAGATGTTAAAAATGGCTTTTGGGGGGGCGGGGGGAGAGGGCAAGGGTTATCCTGGGGTTTGAATTCAGGGCTCTGTGCTTGCTTGCTAGGTAGGTGCTCTACCACTTAAGCTGTGGCTCTATCCCACCCCAGCCCTTTTTTGCTATATTTTTCAGATAAGTTTCACTTTTGCCTGGGGGGCTCAGAGATCTCCTATAGTTAGGATAACTACACTCCTGGCTTTTTAAGGTGCTGTAAAAGACCCTGCCTTGGGTTACAGCTAGTTTATTCTTATCCTCTCCCAGTATCTTAAGACTCAAAGCTCTTTAAGAGTAGAGATAGTATCTTACCAAGTTTCTGCATCAGAGCCTAGGTGATTCCTTGCACATAATTGGCATGTTATAACTTTGTCTTTATGCTATTCTCTAACCACCGAGAATCTTCAACAATTTTGCTTGAAAAGAACCTATCTTTTAAGTGGGACCTGTTGGGGTCCTAACATGTGATTTGGGGAGATGAAATAGTAACAGAAACTCAGAAAGTCTAGGAATACTTAAAACAGTAACATGAATGTAAAAGGGGGTTGTCTGTGGGAAGATACTGATGGGAGGATGAGAGTGTTGGTAGTGTTTTGTGATTATAGTCAAAGTTCTTATGTGCATGTATATAAATACAATAACTAAACACTTTAAAGACTATTTAAAAAGGAAGAAAGTGGAGGGGTAAGAAAGAGTAATAGAGGGGGCAAGTATGGCCAAAGATTTTATTTTCATATGTGAGGACACCACAATGAAACTTAAAATTTTAAAGGCTAGAGCCAGGCATTGGCAGCTCAAACCTGTAATTCTAGCAACTCACGAGGCTAAGATCTGATGATAGAGATTAGAAGCCATTATGAGCAAATACAAGGAAGTAAACCTGGTTCAAGTGGTAGAGTGCCAGCCTTGAGCAAAAAGCTAAGAGATGGTGCCTACAAATTGAGTTCAAGCCCTAGGATCTACATTTAAAAAGAAAATTAAGAGGCTAGGAATTCTTCCCAACTATGGGCTTTTCACCTTTGTCCTCAGGAAGCTACCAAGTTTGTTAATTAGTAATCTTTTCACAGGTTAGACAATACTATTAGCTACTGCTGTTAACTGTTCTGTGAAAAATATGCCATCTGCGTAGGCCCTTTGCAAACAAAGTACCTTCAACTCTTTCCACATTTGAAAAGCAGATTAAGCCTATCCATTACCCTTTATCAAAACTTAATGATGGGGGCTGGGAAGGTGGCTCAGTGGTAGAGCGCTTGCCTTGCATGCATGAGACCCTGGGTTCGATTCCTCAGCACCACATAAGCAAAAGGAAAAAAGCCAGAAGTGGCGCTGTGGCTCAAGTGGTAGAGCGCTAGCATTGAGCTGAAGAGCTGAGGGACAGCGCCCAGGCCCAGAGTTCAGGCCCCATAACCGGACCCCCCAAAAAAAAAAAAAAAAAACCCCAAAAACCTTAATGATGGCAAACCAATTATTCTTAAAATATAAAAAAAAAGCATTGCAGCCCTAAAATTATTTGAACCATGAAAGTTATCTCTTAGAGATTTTTTAAAATTTTGTTTACAAAAATAACTGTGTGTGCCTCTCCTCCCCCCCCCTCCCCTCCTCTCCTCACCTCTCCTTTCCTTCCCTTTCCTTCATTTGTGCTGGTCCTAGGGCTTGAACTTAGGTCTGGGTGCTGTCCCTAAGCTTGTCTGCTCAAGGCTAGAGCTCTGCTATTTGAGCCATGTTCTACTTCTAGCCTTTTGGTAGTTAATTGGAGATAAGGGTCTCATGGACGTTCCTGCCTTGCCTGGCTTTGAACCTTGATCTTCAAATCTCAGCTTTATAGGTAGCTAGGATTACAGGCATGAGCTACTGGCACTCAGCTTGGAAGTATGATTTCCGAGACTAAGAACCCTGCTATCCAAAGACAAGTTGTGAAGTTCTCAAAAATTACAAGTGCATTGTATTCCTTGTAGGCTGCAAAGTAGTTAAAACCTTCCAAAACATTCTAATCATCTATGTTGTATTTTGTGTTTGGACTGTATACTAGTAAAATGGAGAGCAATGTTTAATAGGCTTGTGATGTTGAAATCCCTCAAGGCTTTGTCCAAAAGTCTCCTGAAATGTGCTGAGACAACACCCCATCCATCTCAATGCCAGCCACTGAAAAGCTGAACACACTACATTGAATCCTTCCTGGAGAGGAGCCAGAAGTGTTCAAAAAGCATACTCACTGCAAACTCCATGACACAAACTTATTTCCAAATGGTTCTTTTTTTATTGTGAAAATACCGTACAGAGGGGTTACAATTACATGGGCAAGGTAATGAGTACATTTCTTATCAAGCATTGTTGCTTCCTCCTTTGTTTCTCCTTCCCATAACCTTCTAATCTCCCCCCCCCACCCCCAATGGTTCTTAAAAGTCAATCAGGGATATGTCAAGTTTTTTTTCTTGAATAAAGAGCACAACATTTCTAAGTAGGTTAGGGGAGGTGTAAGCTCTTTCAGTAGGCTTCAGAACAAAGTGTCTTTTTATCACTTGATTTCTTGTCAAGTTTTGTTCTGAAGTAACAAAATGCTCTAATTGCTACCACTACATGATTATATGGGTGAGGGATTAAGGCAGAAGGAGAAAAATGGTTTCTATCTAAATTATTACCAGAATTATTCTTCTTTAAAAAAGGATCTCCTGTTAATTTCAGGTTCAAAAACATTCTATGGTTCTTCATTACATAAAATATAAACTTCAGGCTGGGAGCTGGTGGCTCATGCCTATAATCCTAGCTACTAGGGAGTCAGAGATCTGAGGATCATGGTTCAAAGCCAGCCTGGGCTGGAAAGTGTGAGACTCCTATCTCCAATAAACCACCAGAAGACAGGGAGTGGCACTGTGGTTCAAATGGTAGAGCAGTAGCCTTGAGCTGAAGAGCTGAGGGGCAGTGCCCAGGCCCAGAGTTCAAGTACATGACTGACCAAAAAAAAAAAAAAAAAAGCAAAAACAAAAACAAACTTCATACATTGGATATTTTTTAAAAAAGTCACAATGGCCGTGCGCCAGTGGCTCTCACCTGTAATCCTAGCTACTCAGCAGGCTGAGATCTGAGGCTCAAGGTTCAAAGCCAGCTTGGGCAGGAAAGTCTGTGAGACTCTTTATCTCCAATAAACCTCCTTGAGCTGAAGAGCAAAGGGACAGCGCCCAAGCCCAGAGTTCAAGCCCCACAACTGACCAAAAAAAAAAAAAAAAAGTCACAATGTAGGCCCTGCTAAAGTCTAATTTTAATGGGTTACTTTCTTATTTAATTCCCACAACAATCTCATGAGACAGTGTTATGGTTATGTCCATTTAGAAGATAAAGAAGCAAACTAAAAGAGGTGAAGTTACTGTGGGAGGAGAAATAAACCAAGGTTTTGTTTTTTGTTTTGTTTTTTTGACCAGTCCTGGGGCTTAGACTCAGGGCCTGAGTGCTGTCCTTGAGCCCCTTGGTGCTCAAGGCTAGCTCTACCCCTTGAGCCACAGTGCCACTTATGGCTTTTTTGGGGGGTAGTTTATTGGAGATAAGAGTCTCCTGGGAATTTTGCTGTCCTGGGTTGGCTTTGAATTTCAATCCTCACATCTCCAGAGTAGCTAGGATTACAGGCGTGAGCACTGGCACCTGGCTGAACCAAAGTTTTAAGTACTAAGATCAGGGCTGGGAAGGTGGCTCAGTGGTAGAGTGTGTGCCTAGCATGCCTGAGGCATTGGGTTCGATTCCTCAGCACCACATATAAACAAAAAATAAACTAAAAATCCTATATAACAAAATGCTAAGCCAGCTCTTGAGTATCTCTCCAGACTCAGTTTCCTCACGCGCCGAGGCGCTCGCTCGGGCTCTGACCTGAGCGACCCCCAGCCCGGACCCCCGCGACCCCGCACGCCCGGGGTCCTGGCAATGCTCCCACAAGCCACGTTACCTGTAGGGACCAATGGGCCTGGGGTTTTTCGCGGCGGTGATCACCTTTCGGATTAGAGACGACATGACTAAACCTTCACTTGCGGCCAGTTCGGGAGAAGCCTGAGCTAGAGCGACCCGCTATCCTCACCGACTGACCGAGCCCGCGCCGCGTCACAGGCGCCACTCTGGGGGGCGGGGCATGGGAGGAGCGGAGAGGGAGGGAGAGGAAAGGCTCGCATGGCATGCTGGTAGTTGTAGTCCGCTAGCGACTCCCGGCCACGTGCAGGAAGAGGCCGGGCTGGCGCATGCGCCCTGCGTCTCGCTCTCTGCACTGACCGCCAGGGGCGGCGGGGGGACTTGCGGCACAGGCTTGTTATTCTGACCCTAGGAACCCTCAGGACAGGTAGGTCGCGAGGCCCTCATTCTCCCTGGGATCCAGTAGTCTTGGGGTGGGAGGGGAGCGTGTGTGCATGCGGTTCCCTGCTAGGTGCCCGTGTCCTGGCCGGCTTCCCCTGCATATCTTCGGTCCTCGGACCTCCGACCTCTTCTGCTCGCTGCGCCACGGCCTGTCTTCCAGGTCCAGAGCGTTCTGTGCCAGGTGCCCTGCGGCCCCGAGTCAGCCCCTTCCCCGCCTTGTCCTGTCGGAAGGAGCCCATCCTGGGGTTCGTGTGCAGCTCTAAGGAGCAAGCCGGGTCCTTTTAAGGAGACCACGCGGGCACCTGGGCGTTGTCCTTTCTCCCGCGTGCGTTACACGGCTCCTCGATTGGAGCCGAGCCCCACGGCGGGGATCTGATTTCAAAAGGAAAGAAAGTGATTTTGGGCTAGAATAGCCTCCGACCTGGTCCAGGCTGGGTGGGACACGTGCTGCGTTAGCGGGGTTACTCTGGCCTGGGTATGTCCATCCTGTGATTATATGCAGTATTGGCATCTACGCGTGCCAGCCTACAGTCAGCATCTACATCGTGAGCCTGAAATGTGTGTATGGCAGTCTGCTAAGTGCTGGCTGTGACGACGAAGAAAAAGGTAGAAAATATCTCAGACCTTCCTGCTTTCAAATGTACCATAAGAAATCTCTTTGAGCCAAGAATGGTGGCTCGCTTCTTTAATCCTCGCTGCTCTGGAGGCTGAAGATTTGAGGATCGCGGTTCAAAGACATATCAGGCAGGAAAATTAGTGGAACTCTTATCTCTAGTAAATGGCCAAAAAGCCAGAAATGGAGTTCAAGTGGTAGGCTTGAGTACAAAAGCTCAGGGACAGTGCCCAGGCCCTGAGGTCAAGCCCATGTTCACAAACACACACACCAAATCTCCTTGAATCTCTCTTACCTCTCATTTGGTCGGTTTTTGCTTTTCTACTTGTAGTTCAAGAACCTTTAGATCATTCTCACTGTTTAGGAATCCAACCTGGAAAAAAGACCTCTCTGCCTGGCCTCTCCTAGCCTATTTGGTTTTATACCATTCTAAATCCTCTATTGGTCTAGTCTTCTGTGTTCGTAAGGTAGATTACCAACTATGCTTTCATCGCTCTCCATCAGATTTTAGCAAACTGATATCTTGTATTCTTCCCGATGATAACAGGAAGATTTTCATTAAGATTTCTATTTGGCTGTACTGCAGAATTTAGTATTTTGTTATAGGAGTGTCATTCACCAAGCATTTTATGTTATAAGAGTAGTGAGTGGAACCAAGACCCCTTGGTGTGAATTGCAGAAGAATCCCTGGTCTGTTTCAGAGACAGCACCTCCATCATAGAATTCTGAGAATTAAATGAATAAGGAACCTAGAACAGTTGCCTGACACAGAATTCTCAGTTAATGTTAGCTGTTTAAGACACCTGAATTCCTAGAGAAAAGCAGACCACATCTTTGTTGTTGTGGTTGTGGGGCTTGAACTCAGGGCCTGAGTGCTGTCCTTAAGCTCTTTTGCTCAAGGCTAGTGCTCTACCACTTTGAGCCACGGTGTACATTCCGGTTTTCTGGTGGTTAATTGGAGAGAAGAGTCTCACGGACTTTCCTGCCTGGGCTGGCTTTGAACCTCAATTCTCGTGAGCCATCAGCACCCAGCAATATCCTTACACTACAGAGGTGTTTACACAGTGTCTGAAACTGTTAGACACATCATTGGTACTCAAAGGCTTGTGGAATTTGGTTAAACTGGATAACTAGAAGATGCTTTTTCTTTATAAATAATTTATATGTAATTCTGTAAGTAGAAAGCTCTCATGTTACAAATAATTCAACTTGTGTAAAATATTTCCTATTAAAGAAGATACCTCGGAAGGCAGATTTTATGTCAAGCAGCGTTTTTCAGAAGTGGAAGAAAATGGAGACCAGTTGGCTGGTTCCTCAGTTGTCTAGCAAGTAGTGAATCTGATTAGCCAGAGGATACTACACTATATAAGAAACCATGACATCCTTTTATTAAAGATTTGGAAGTCCAGCATATGTTTAGTATGCATTAACATGTTGAACACAAAGACACAAAAGAACTGAGTGAATATGGAAATAAACACAAAATGTGGTGATTAGGAATAGGTATAAAACTGGCTTGGAAGTTATAAGATACCCTCAGTCTTTATAAGGATGTCTTCTGTATTCATTCTCTTTCCCAGTTGGAACAGTTTGAAGTCTATCTAATCCTAGTTTATTTTGCTTAGGTTTTAGTTTAGAACCAGTATTCAGAGACATAACATCCTAAGGTTACTACCACAATCCCCCAGCATCTTTTTTTTTTTTTTTTTGGTTGGTCGTGGGGCTTGAACTGTGGGCCTGGGCACTGCCCCTCAGCTCTTCAGCTCAAGGCTAGCGTTCCACCATTTGAGTCACAGTGCCACTTTGGGCTTTTTCTGCTTATGTGATGCTGAGGAATTGAACCCAGGGCCTCATGCATGCAAGGCCAGCACTTTACCACTGAGCCACCTTCCCAACACCCTCAGCATCTTGTTTCTGGCTCATTTGAATCTTGATTGGAGTTGGAGATGGTAGGGTAGTTTTCTGCTGTTTTGGGGGGTAAGAAGTAGGTCAATGATGAGACTTTTTTGAAAACTGTTATAAATGGATCTCAGTGTAGACTAATCTGAATAACATGCCTATTATTGCACTTATTTAAGAATAATAGCTGGGCTGGAAAGGTGGCTTGCCTGCCTGAGGCCCTGAGTTCGACTCCTCAGCACCACATAAGCAAAAAAAAAAAAAAAAAAGAAAAAAGCCGGAAGTGGCGCTGTGGCTCAAGTGGTAGAGTGTTAGCCTTGAGCTGAAGAGCTGAGGGACAGCGCCCAGGCCCAGAGTTCAGGCCCCACGACTGGACCAAAAATAAAAAAAAATAGCTATTGTCAGGAGTAGCACTGTGGCTCAAGTGGTAGAGCGCTAGCTTTGAGCTTGAAGAGATGAGGGACAGCGCCCAGGCCTAGAGTTCAAGCCCCACGACCCACCAAAAAAAAACAACAACCCAAAATGTGATATATTTTTTTTTTTTATTGTAAAGCTACTATACAGAGGGTTACAGTTACATGAGTGAGGTTATGAGCACACGTCCTCTTGAACATTGTTACCCCCTCCATTGTTTTCCCCCTACCATCCCCTCCCTCCCTCCCTTCCCCGAGGTTCTTTTTTTTTTTTTTTTTTTGATTGTGATTAAATGATTACATAATTTCAAAGTAGAAAATGTGATATATTTTTAAAGAGTTCAATGTAATCACGCAGTGTCACTAACACAAAGTATTTTTATTATTTTAGGTAATTTCCATTTCATCAGTTTTTGAGAAGAAAAATAGCTAAATAAAATCTATTCTTCAATGTTAAAAAAAACACCCAAAAATCAAAACAATAAAAATAAAAGAATAATAGCTACTGTAAACTGAACACTTTGTGTAGAGCATTTTGTATTATCTATAGATAGATGGTAATTCTATGCATAGGTAGAAGTAAAGGCTAAAGCTTAAATACTAGCATGTAAGCTTGATATTTACTACTAAAAATACCAAGGTATTTCCCTGCCTCCTGGTGTTCCCATGCAGCGCCTTTCAGATGGATAGTGCCAGTGCTTGTATTTGTCCCTAAGTTGATGTGACTAGACATTCTGGTTTCAAATCTATTTCATAATGCCACATAGAATAGTTGTGGTTAAAAAGTTACATGCAGATATACATATTGTTTCATAAAAATTACGTTTTAGTTATTTGTTACACTTAGAGCAATACAATGTATTGTAGGGGATGAGTTGATAAAAGCTAATGTCTTGGGCTTGGAATTTGGCCCTAGCATGCATGAAACCCTGGGTTCAATTCCTCAGTACCACATAAACAGAAAAAGCTGGAAGTGGTGCTGTGGCTCAAGCGGTAGAGTGCTAGCCTTGAGACAGAGAGGCTCAAGGACAGTCCTGAGTTCAAGCTCCAGGAAGAACCAAAAAAAAAAAAGTTAATGTCTCTAGGAGGTAACATTGTTAATGCAGTTCATTTCAAAATAGAAAACAGGTGTTTAAAAGGGAAGCAACCAGTAAAGGGGGGGGGGGGTGTTGAGTTAGTTTCAGGTGGGGAACTGTGGAGTAAATCAGGCTTCACTAGACTCAGGCTTCACTAGACTGTTACCCTGTATCCTTTATACTTCAGATCAAAGTCATTGCCTCTTACTATCACAAACCAAAGGTAGTGTCTTTTTACTAGTAAAATGAACACATCGATAACATTCATTGTTAGCATTGATTCAGGTGGTCCCTTACCTAAGAATCTAGATAAAGTCTTTTAAGTATTTGAAAAAAACTTAAATTGTTATTATGAAGATGATGTACAGAGGGGTTACAGTTACATAAGTCAGGTAAATAGTGCATTTCTTTTTGGACAGTGTCATCCCTTTCCCAGTTTTTCCCTCCTCTCCCCACCCTCAAGTAGTATAATTCATTTTCAACATAGTGTCTAATGATTAATACTGCTGTACATGTTTATCTTTGTCCCTCTTTGTGTGTGTGTGTGTGTGTGTGTGTGTGTGTGTGTGTGTGTGTGTGTGCGTGCGTATGCGTATATGTGTGTATGTATGTGTGCATGTATGTGTGTGTGTGTGTTTGTGTGTATTGGTCTTGGGGCTTTGAGGGCCTGGGTGCTAGCCCTGAGATTCTTTTTCTTAAGGTTAGCATTCTATCTCTTAAGCCACAGGTCCACTTTGGTCTTTTGTGAGTAATTTATTGGAGAAAAAAGTCTCATGGACTTTCCTCCCCAGGCTGTCTTCAAACCACGATCCTCAGATCTCAGCCTTCTGAGTAGCTAGGATTATAGGCATGAGCTGTCAGTACCCATTGTTCCTCCATTTTAAGTATTTTCAAAAATCATGCATAGTTTTCTTTCTTCCAACTGACTTATCTAATGTCTACATTAGCACATGATTTAGTTCATCGGCAGTGCAAACTAGGTATGCCTATAGAGCTTCTTCCACTATTTCTTTTGAAACGCGTTTTTGGTATTAATACCATTCATGACTTCCTTGACATTTCCCCTTTTTAGGAATTTGTACTGTAGACTAATTTCATAGTAACATTTTGGTGTCATCAAGCTACCTACAGTAAATGAACATTTATTATACAGAAGAATTAAATTTTGAGTTATATATGAATTTTTATTGCACTTACTACTTTTGAATGAGAGTTCTAACAGTATAAAATATTCCCTTTCCAGACATGTCTACTGCAAAGGAAAGAAAACATGCTAAGAAAATGAGAAACCAGCCCACCAACGTCACTCTGTCCTCTGGCTTTGTGGCACAGAGAGGTGTAAAGCACCATAATGGAGGGGGCAGACCTTTCCAAGCTCAGCAACAAGGTAAGGCGCACATGCTGTTCTTGCCACTGCCATTGAGAGTAAATTGCTTTTTGCCAACTCTTCAGTAGTTATTAAATGAGTAGTACATGAGCTGATGTTTTCTCAAATGTTACGCATTAGTGCTTACTCACTAAAGTTTATTTGTAGCCCTCAAGTCAGTGCTCATGGAACTTGGATGATCATTCCTAGACATGCAGGGAGCAGGAGTATATGCAAATTGCTCTGTGCAGAAGTTTCCCATTGCCTTCTTGTGTCTGCTATCATGCAGAGATGGCTGGGGTGTGGAGTTCATAGAAGGCAGTGTGGTGCGGTGCAAGATGTGTCAGCTCTGCTAGGGTTTAAACATCTCAGCCTTGGACTGGCCTTTTAGAAACAGAATTTACCATCATAGGTTATTTTTAGGGTTTAAAGTTATAATTCTGTGAGATTGATAGACTCTTTAGATAGCTAGGCAAAAAGGTGTGTAGATGATAGGATAGATAATTTCCTCAAGGAGCACAGCTTCAGTATTTGCTAATTCAGTCTTCACTGAGGCTTTATAGAACATAGGTACTTCAGTATGGCTATTCATACTTTAGAGCTGATGTATTTTATTTCTACCTTAAGATTTATTAGATTATACTTTTATACTTTCCAAGAGAATTATAGTAGTCATTATATCTGTACCTTACTTGTGTGCTGGTTTTACCTTTAGAAAGTGGTAGGAAGGTGATAGTGTTCATTGGCACAGCAGAAGGAAAAGCCAGTTTGGGAAGACAGCAAACACAGAGTGTAAAGAATTTGACCCATGGGTCAATTAAATAGATTTTAGATTTAAACTCATAAAAGATCTAGATACAGATCCAGCAATTGAAGACAGCCATGATAGGTGACAAGCTTCTGTGGAGGTAGTAGGTTGCCGGTTCCGTCTAGCAGCTGCTGTGATGGTGGATGAAGAATTGCCCATGCAATGCTAAATAATATTTACTATCATCACGGGAGATGAGGAATGAGCTTAGTTGATGTGATGACTTGATTAAACTGAAGGAGTCTTTTCCATCCTCTGCTTTTTTTTTGGTTGACCATGGAGCTTGAACTTAAGGCCTGGGCGCTGTCTCTGAGCTCTTTTGCTGAACCTAGTGTTCTACCACTTTGAGCTACAGTTCCACTTTAGCTTTTACGTGGTTAATTAGAGATAAGAGTCTAAGGGGAATTTTATGACCTCCCTGGCTTGGAACTGCAATCCTCAGACTTCAGCAGATAACAGGGTATCAGGAAGCAGTAAGATGCATACACACAGACGCTCACCTTGTCTTTTGACAGCAGCATTATGGAGACACAAGGTATGCAATCACGCAACCAGCAGTTTTCCTCTAGCATCAGGCATTCTCCATACACTATCCACTCATACTTTCTGAACCCAGTCATAGTTCCCAAGGGGCTCTAGGGTTCCCCTACTGGGGCTTGAACTGGTACTGCGGCTTGAACTCAGGGCCTTAAGTGCCTTCATTTTTTTGCTTATTGCTGGCACTCACCGTGGCTCACTTTAACCATACGTACAGTTGTGTGATAAGTTTTTCACAGATATTACCTTATTTAAAATTCCCAAGACCGACAAAAAAATTAACAGTGACAAACCATATAACATTTCAGGATTATAGTGGCTTAATAATTCATACCCCAGTGGAAATAAGCAAGAACACTGTAAGCTGTAAGATTCTCCACTGACCTCTTCCCTTTCACAGACTAGTATCTGATGTTAGCTTAAAGTCTCAATGATTACAAGGATTGATTTGCTTTGTATTCTTTCTTTAATAGTGCTTTCTGACTTGAGGGTGCCAGATAATTAGTATAAGACCAAATATACAAAATTACGTGGATTGTAGTATTCAAGGGAGTATCACATTCAGGTTTCTATAATGAAATACCAAAACTAGCAGCTTCTAAATCACAAATTTATGTCTAAAAGTTCTGAGGGTAAGTCTGAGATCACGCAGTAGATCCAATATGAAGAGGGCTGTATCCTGGTTTGTAGATGCTTTTGGCTGTGTCCTTAGATGGCAGAGCCTCTTTCATAATGACACCTTCATAAGGGCTCCCATGATCTGATCACTTCCTAAAGCTTCCACGTTCCAATATAGTCACCTTACTGGTTAGGTTTTCAACATTTGAATTTGGGGAGCCATAAACATTCAAACTATAACAAAGAGATTCGGTTGGAAATTCCTTTTGCACTGTAAATATATAATGGAGAAAATTTCCTTGTATTTCTTCAGTTCAGGGATCTTTATTTGCCATATGGACATGATCACCCTGTGCTGCCTACTAGCTTTGACCTTGGACAAGTATACAGAATAACCTCCTTGCTCAGTATCCTCTTTAAAAAGAAATAGGAATAGCTACTTTATAGGGTGGTTGTAGGATTAAAAAGTTAATTGGTTTTCCACTCTAGTCCTGATTTCTGGTAAGAGTCCTGTATTTATTTTTGTTTTCTTTTTGAAAATGTTGTAGAGTCTCATTCTGGAAGTTCAAGACAGCGACAAACTAAGATGACCCCCCATTTGCTTCCTGAGCCTGATATGAATGAGCAGTCTTCCTCTAAAGTTATGTTTAAGAAAAAGGGAGGCTGGAAAGCAAGTCTGGAGGGCACCTCTCAGGAAATTCCCAAGTATATAACCGGTGAGTATTTGTCAGGAAGTGCAGTCTGATTCAGTTTTATGAGCTCTTTGGTTCTCCAACAGCCAATTGTGCCAACAAATTGCTCTCCCTACCATCTGGCTTTCCCTCCCTCACTTTCCCGCTCTGCCATCCATTTGGGCCCTTCTCACCTTCAGCCTGGTCTTTGGGTATTTGGGTATAACTGCCTTAGGTGTGATGGCTCTCCTTCTTCAGATTCTCTCCCTTCTCTGAGGAAGGGAGAGGCATTCTCCCTTAGAGAATGTGCTCTGCAGCAACCGAGACCTTTGTTTCCAGGCCCTTGCAAGCTTCATCTTCTGTCACCCTTATCTCTATTGACATGTAAGCCATGTCCCTTGCACACACTGTAGATGTGCCTCCTAGTCTCTCCATGCTTTCTTGGATGAACTCACAAGTTTTTTCCAGCATTCTGGAAGTGTGTGTGTGTGTGTGTGTGTGTTGGTCATGGAGCTTTAACTCGGGGCCTGGATACTGTCCCTGAGCTCTTTTGCTCAAGGCTAGCACTTTGCACTACAGCACTACTTCTTTTTAAAAATCAGAATGGTTATGTGTTTAGAAAAATCAGAAAAAATGATGAAAAATCCCATGGAATCAAAACCAATATTAATCTCTTTCCTATGATTGCTGCACTTCAAAATGATTGTGATTGTATTATATATGTATGTATTACAGATATGCACAAATATACATTATACATATATATACACTACACGTGTGTGTATATATACATCTTTATATATTCCTTGTTTTTAAGAACCCTTTGTAAAGTTTTTTTTTTTCCATCAGAAAAATAAAACACAATATTTAAATCTTTACAGAAAACTAGGGGACAGAAATAACCTGTGTTTAATGAGGGTCAGGCTGGTGGCTGAACTATAAGCTCACATACTTCAGATTTGTCTTCCCTATGAAATCCAAGAAAGCTGCTTGATTCAGCACTCATTTTTAATGGCATTGATGTTTCTCTTGACAGCTTCCACTTTTGCTCAAGCGCGGGCTGCTGAAATCAGTGCTATGGTAAAAGCTGTGACCCAGAAGTCTTCTAACTCCCTGGTGTTCCAGACTCTACCGCGGCACATGCGGCGGAGAGCTATGAGCCACAATGTCAAACGTCTTCCTAGACGGCTACGGGAGATGGCCCAGAAGGAGGTGGGAATTCCACTCAGTGCAAATGTTTAAGTTAGTAGTTCCTAGAGGAGCCTGAGAAGTGTTGACCCAAAAGAACTCACTAAGACTAAAATCAGAAAACCTTATTTTTGTAAATTTTTGGTTTAATCACTATCTAGCCCTCTTTATCCTTCCTAATTAATCCAAGTTAGCAGGCTAAGTATTAGAATTTGTGATTGCAGGGCTGGGAAGGTGGCTCAGTGGTAGAGCGCTTGCCTTGCATGCCTGAGGCCCTGGGTTCGATTCCTCAGCACCACATAAGCAAAAAGAAAAAAGCCGGAGTGGCTCTGTGGCTCAAGTGGTAGAGCGCTAGCCTTGAGCTGAAGAGCTGAGGGACAGCGCCCAGACCTAGAGTTCAACCCCACGATCAGACCCAAAAAAAAAAAAAAGAATTTGTGATTGCATTTAGCAACCTGTCTGTAGCCTAATTAATTTTCCATTTTTATATTTTGATCTTAAAGTTTTTCATTTAGTTACAGGTTAAGATTAAGCAGGTTAAACGACAAGAAGTGTTTGATTTATTTTCTGATCACTATTAATAGCCACATTAAACTTAGATTTACTGAGTTAACATTTTATAAGTGTTCTAATATTGCTAAAGGATGAAGCTTGGCAGTGAGTGAACATTAGAATGGTGTCTCCCTCTTAGGCTTCCTTTTCTCTAAAACCTTCATTGTTCCCATTGTCTTCATTCTCTCCGTTCCATTGACTACATTCTTGCATAGGAGAAACTAAGTTAAAACTGAAACAAACAAGTCTGCAAAATACTGTTTATTTGTTTGAATTCCTGACATCTTGTCATGAGGCACTTACAGACTAGGATCTGACTCTCTTTTATTCTGCAGGCAGAGAAGGCTGTACATCAGAAAAAAGAACACTCAAAAAACAAAAGTCATAAAGCTCGAAGATGTCACCTAAACCGGACACTGGAGTTTAACCGTAGACAAAAGAAGAACAGATGGCTAGAAACTCATATCTGGCATGCCAAGCGCTTTCACATGGTGAAGAAATGGGGCTACTGCCTGGGAGAGAGGCCGACAGTGAAGAGCCACCGGGCCTGCTACCGAGCCATGACAAACCTTTGCCTCCTTCAGGTATACCCTATCAAATAGACTTTTTAAATTTTAATTGTTATTTCTTTTTGGGTCCGGTTGTGGGGCCTGAACTCTGGGCCTGGGCGCGGTCCCTCAGCTCTTCAGCTCAAGGCTAGTGCTCTACCACTTGAGCCACAGCGCCACTTCCAGCTTTTTTCTTTTTGCTTATGTGGTGCTGAGGAATCGAACCCAGGGCCTTGAGCATGCAAGGCAAGCGCTCTACCACTGAGCCACCTTCCCAGCCCTGTTTTTATTTTTGTTTAGCCTCTTTCCAATGCTAATTTTTTTTGGAGGGGTTTGAACATTTGTTTACAAGGTTTTAGCTAATGTAACTGTTTTTAAAATAAACCCCTCCAAAAAAGTCATTTACTAATATCTGAAGTAGCACATACATATTACCCTCCCCCCAAAAGGAAGCTATAGTCAGTTAAACTATTAATGCAGATAACTGAAAAATATCCCAAGAAGGAAATATTTGCAGCATTCCATAGGAAATATAAAACATGTATTCATAGGAGCTTGATCTTGTATTACTGCCTACATCAGTACTATCAGAAGTGGTGACATCAGGCTTGGAAATCCAGTATCAATTTTTAGAATAGTTCTTGGTTTGCCATCGTTCTATCTTTGAGGTTATCCATCTTAAAAACAACAACTGAACAGAGCTGTTCAGGGTGAAGAGTCTGTATGACAGGAAGTGTCAATTTGCAATGGGCTCTGGGTACTTCTGGAGCCTGGGAACAGGAGAGGTCCTTCCTCATGGCCATTTACCTAATTGAAGCTTGTGATGGTGCCACATTAGAGTGTTGGTGTGTTGTTTTATAGTCCCAAGTGAGTGGGTTACATAGTTGTTGTGCTGTGATTAAGTGGGTAGTTAGTATTATTTTCATCTTTCAGGTGGAGACAGGTCCAGAGAGGTTAGGTAGTTTACCTGTGAGTGTACAACACAGCCAGTGAGTGGTGAAGTTCAACTTTGAGCCAGGTCATCTGACTCCAGACAATTGTTCTCTGCTGTTACGCAGTTGTACAAATCTGGGTGAGATTCATCTGACCACTGTTAACTGAGAGTGAGTTTATTGGTAGGAAGATTTTTCTGTGCTAGTGTTGGCAATGATTGATCTGACTTTGTCAGAGTCACAGTACGATTTTTTTCTTAATTTCAGTTGTCCAATTTACTGAAAGTGATCAAAGGTGTGGTGGCAGAGTCTGCTTTGGGAATCAGTGAGCCTGACTTGAATGCTGGTTTTACTTGGTTATATGGTTTTGGAGAGTAACTATCTCTGTGCCTTGTTGGTGCTTACCTGCAAAATAAGGGAATCGTAGTGTTGGTTTGTCAGGTTGTTGAGAGTGCTGTTAACTCACTGGTTCAACATTGGCTTCCCTAACTCAGTCCTGTCTCTTCCTCTTAACATTGGTAAAGTCTTAACTTTCTCTCTTTCTTGTACGTTGCTCAGCCACAGGTGTATATTATGATCCGGATGGGGTAAATTACTTGTAACATCGTGCCTCAGGGCTCAGTGGTTCCTAATCCCTTAATCTTGATGACTTCTGTTAGGACCAAAGTGAGCAATCTTACCAATAATGTAGAATTTATTAGAGTCTTGCTTTTTTTTAAAATTTTTTTTTTTGTGAACATACTGTACAGAGGGGTTACAATTACACGGGCAAGGTACATTTCTTATCAAGCATTGCAGCCTCCTCCTTTGTTTACCCTTCACATCCCTTCCCAGCTCTGCCCAAGCCGCCCCGCCCCCCCACCCCACACCAAAGTTGTAAAGTTCATTTTCGTTCGACATGACAACTTATACTTCTCATTGTTGCAACGGGTCCACCTGTATCCTTAAACGACGTGTTTTTCCCCATCTCCTCCACAAATTATACCGACATCAAATATAGTGAAAGCAGGGGTTATACTGTGGGGGAGGGACATACAAAGCAACAAAGAAATAATCTTATAAATGCATTAGAAACAAATGCATGAAAGAAAAATACCTTTAAATACATATCTAAGGGTTCATTTTCCTAACATCATATTATCTGACCTTTTCTGCTTGTAGAATCTTGCTTTTTTTACTCTGGTTTCTTACCTTAGGTGGGTTTTGGGAATGGTTATCTTTATTGAGAAGAAGCAGTTTTTTCTGCCCTATTTTGAACTTGCTTATAATCTGGATAAAATATAGCTTTGCTGAACCGTAGAATCCTGTAATGTATATCTTCAAGGGAGATTCATTTTTATTTAAATCAGATAGGTTTTAAAAAGATATGCAAATGTAATAAGAATGTCTAGGTTTTCAATTTTGATTTTTCGAAAAGGTCGCTTTGATAATTTGTTCTGGGTTTTAGATTTCTACAGGTTTCTTGATATGGCTTTTGGCTTCTTATCAGTTTTGCCCCATACAGATTCTAAGGAGTTTAATTGTGTTTCCTCTATGCAGGATTTATCCTACTACTGTTGTCTGGAGTTGAAGGGCAAAGAGGAAGAAATACTGAAGGCACTTTCTCAGATGTGTAGCATAGATACAGGTAATCTTGCCATCAATCTGAGTCCTGTTTTTAGCCTTTATGTATTTATTCACTTTACAAATAAGGGTCTATTAGAAACATTTTGGAATTAAATGTATATAAATATGTGTATATATATATATATATATATATGTAAGCATATAAATATACTTATTATGTTTGTTCCCAATAAGTAATGGGGAATAATATCTTATTCAAGGTAATAATCATATCTTATTTAAGGTAAAATGGGTGGCATTTAAATTTTTTATAACATTGTGAAGAATAAAAATGACAGAACCATTATTCTGCTGGAATGAACTTAAGCAGGAAATATCTCAAAACCCTTGGTAAGTCATCCATTTAGTAAATCCCTTTTTCTTTTTTGTGCCAATCCTGGGGCTTGAACATGGGGCCTAGGCATTATCCCTGAGCTTTTGCTCAAGGCTAAAACTTACCACTTGAGCCACAGCTCTACTTACAGCTTTGTCCCTCCCCTTCCAGTCCTATATCGTCATCATCCCCCCTCCAATCCCCTCAGTTAATTGAGATAAGAGTCTCATGTAAGACAGTTGCTGATGATTCATGCCTGTAACCTAGCTACTAGGAGGCTAAGAGCTGAGGATCACCATCTGAAGTCAGCTTGGGCAGGAAAAGTTTGTGAGACTCTTTTTCTTCAATTAACCACAAAAAGCTGGAAGTGGAACTGTGGCTCAAGTGGTAGAGCAATAGCTTTGAGCAAAAGAGCTCAGGGACAGTGCCCAGGCCAAGTTCCAGCACTGTGATCCTCAAATCTCAGCCGCCTGTGTAGCTAGGATTACAGGTGTAAGCCACGGGCTCCTAGCCATTTAGTTAATCTTTCTTGAGCACTAATTGTGTGCCAGGCTTTCCTCTAAGCTATGATAAAAACCAACAGTTCATCCCTCATGGAGACCACAATAAATAGTACTGTGACTGTCAGGAAATAATACTGAGGTCTCAGCATTTGGATCATGTTGTTGTGTTTGTGTCAGGATTGACATTTGCTGCAGTTCACTGCTTGTCTGGAAGGCGCCAAGGGAGCCTCATGCTTTACCGTGCAAATAAATACCCTGGAGGAATGCTCGGGCCTGTTACATTTATTTGGAATTCTGTGAGGGTCCCTGGTGATCTGTGTGAGAGCAGGCAGCTCTGGATCTGGCTTCATCCAACTCTTAAACAGGTATAATCTCTTTGATTCTGTCTCCATCTTTCTGTAAAATCCTTAATGACTACTGAAAATCAGTGTCATAGGACTTTCAAGGAGATAAAACTTTGGCTGATAGTTGGATGTTAGAATATAGAGGGGAAAGTTGTGTGTATATTGAATGAAGCAAGTTAAGAATTTCAATTTTTTTAGACTTTTATTTAAAATATCTAATTAACAAAGAAGATATATTCAAGGTATACAATGTGATGATTTGTTATAGATGTATATTATGTAATGATCACTATATCAAATCAATTAACACATGCATTACCTCATACATAATTAGATCTCCAGACCTCTTCCATCTTGTTGAAGGAGGCAAATTTTTTTTTTTGGCCAGTCCTTGAACTCAAGGCCTGAGTGCTATCTTTGAGCCTGTTTGTGCTCAAGGCAGGTGCTCTACCACTTGAGCCACAGCACCACTTCTGGCTTTTTCTGAGTAGTTTATTGGAGATAAGAGTCTCACGGTCTTTCCTACCCGTGCTGGCTTCAAACTATGATCCTCAGATCTGAGCCTCCTACATCACTAGCTATGATTACAGGTGTGAGCCACCAGCACCTGGCTGAAGGAGGCAAATCTTATCTTCTGGTTTTTAAGTCATAAGCAAAAGTAGAACCAAAGCTTATTAAGAATAATGAGCTTAAATTGTTTGGGCTAATGCTTCCATCATGCCCTGATTCATTCACAGATGCCCAGCTATACGTGATAGTCCATTTTCATAATGAGAAGCTATTTTCAGTAATTCTGGTGATTTTTCCTTCTGCATTTACCTAGCTTCTCTTTTGTAGCATTTGTACGGCTTTTCTATTGCAGACTGTAAATTTTTTTTCCCTATTTTAAACTTTGAAAAAATATTGGTCATGTTTTTGTAATATTTGACATTTACTTTATTATCTTTTTGTTTCAAGTGTTGTGCTGTATTTGGAAATAAAAAAAAAACAACAAAAAAACTTTGGCAGTTGAACTCAGGACCTTGCACTTAGTTTGCTGATTAGGCACTTTACCCAAGCCTTCAGCCCCTTTCCCATTAGGTTATTTTCAAATAGGGTCTTTTATGGCACCCACCTATAAAAACTTTTTTATTATGGCAAATTTGGCTTGATTCGTGAATGGATAAAAATATGAATTTCTAGCCGGGCACTGGTGGCTCACGTCTGTAATCCTAGCTACTCAGGAGGCTGAGATCTGAGGATCGAGGTTCAAAGCCAGCCCAGGCAGAAAAGACCTTGAGACTGCTGTCTCCAATAAACCACTAGAAAACTGGAAGTGGCGCTGTAGCTCAAGCGGTAGATCGCTTGCCTTGAGCTGAAGAGCTGAGGAACAGTGTCCAGGCCCAGAGTTTAAGCCCCACACCACCACCACCAACAACAAAAAAGTGAATGTCTAAAGGAAGCCAGCAAAATTGCAATACTGCATTTAAATTCAGAAATTTAAAGTAAATGTTTAAATGTATCCTTAGGATATATTAGAGGAGATAAAAACAGTGTGCCTGTGTTCAGAACCCATCCAATCAAATATCTGCATCCCTGACCCACTTCTAACACCATCCCTCGAGAAAAGCCAATCTGAACTGGCTGATAAGAAAAGTGGCAAGAAAAGAAAAAGGAAAGATGATGAAGAAAATTTGAAATCAATTAAAAAAATTATTGGTGATGGAACTAGAGATCCCTGCCAACCATGTTCTTGGATCTCTCCAGCCACTGGCATCATAATCAGGTATGAGTTGAATCCACTGTGAACCTACTGAATGTTTTCAATGGAGATTCACTCCATTTTTGCCTGTGACACAGACATATATGAGGGACATTCCCATTTTGTGATCTTTTTTCTCTTTCAGTGATTTGACGATGGAGATGAACAGATTCCGGCTGATTGGTCCCCTTTCTCACTCCATCCTAACTGAGGCTCTCAAAGCTGCTTCTGTACACACTGTAAGACTAAATGGGACTGCCATGTTTTATTTTAGGCATTTTTTTCTTCATCTTATATATAATTTGATAACGTGTTGAATCATGGCTTTTAAGTGCTTATATCCCACTTACTACCATTGATTGATTGATTGATTGTCATTTCTGGACCTTGAACTCTGGGGCTGGGCTCTGACCTTGAGCATCTTTGCCTGAATGTGAGTGCTCTACCACTTGGGATGCAGCATCATTTCCAACTTTTTTGAGTAGTTTATTGGAGATGAGAGTCTCACGTAGTTTCCTGCCCAGGTTGGGTTCAAACCATAATCCTCAGATCTCAGCCTCACTGGGGCCTGGCTTATTTTTATCTTTTATTTCTAGAAGACCAAGTCTGGGTTGTTTTCTAATTTGCACAACCTGTTGTTGCAGTTGTGTCTTGTGTAAGGGTTTTAATCTCTTCCTCATGGGTGGGAAGTGAGGTATCCCTAAAATTCCTGAGTTGGATGCTAGCTTTTGAGTGTTTGACTTGTGAGATGTCTATTTCTGTGATTCCCCCCAAAAGGTTAATAGCAGCAGCATGTCTAGCTCTGAACTTGTTATAGAATGCTCTGCAAGTATGACCATCCCACGCCTTCCAGTGTGTTTAGTCACAGCCATATGAAATGTGACTGGAGTGACTGACTGAATTTGTACCTTTATTTAATTTTCACGTAGAATTAAACTCAGGCAGCTCTTTGTGGCTTTTTGGCTGCTGTGTTGGACTGTGCAGTTCTAGAGCATGCAGACTAGATTCAGAATCCTCCCAGCTGGGTTCAGATCCTGCTCATTTGACTGTTCTACAGAAGTTAACTTCTCAGTGCTGTGCCCACAGATTTCATGTGGCTGTATAAGCTAATGGAGCTTTGAACTTTTAGAAGAATGAGGCTTTAAAAAGCAGAAACAAGCTGGGCGCCCGTGGCTCACAGCTGTAATTCTAGCTACCCAGGAGGCTGAGATCTGAGGATCACAGTTTAAAGCCTGCCAGGGTAGGAAAAACCCATTAGACTCTTTATCTCCAATTAACCACCAGAAAACAGGAAGTGGCTCTTCCTGTGGTAGAGCACTTGGCTTGAGTTGACGAGCTCAGGGACAGCACCCAGGCCCAGAGTTCAAGCCCTGTGACTGACCAAAACAAAAACAGAAAGGCAGAAACAACTTTTGGCTGTCGTTGCCTCGCAGTTGTCTCTGGCCTACATTATTGAAGCAGCTGCAGGAATTCTCTCCTTTATTCTTTCTCTCCAGTCATCTCCATGCAGGAGGCAGAGTGATCTTTTTAACAAATTTCTCATTTCTTTTTTCTCGCGCTAGGAATGGAACCTTGGGCCTTGTTCATGCTAGGCAAGCTCTCTGCCACTGAGCTATATCCTGAGCCCCGTTTTCCACTTTTTGCTGCTTTCTCAGTGTTTGTAATACCTTCTCCTATTTAAGATAAAACATGGCGCCTTCCGTGGACCTGTGTCATCACAGGTTCCCTCACCTCTGCAGTTGCATCTCTCCACATCCCTGCACTGTGGCCTTTCAGGTTCTAGCTGATCTCACTCACTTCTTGAAGCCTCCGCCAGCACTTCTGTACCTGTTTCCTGCCTGTGAACATTCTGTCCCCTCCTCCTGCAGCTAGATCTTCATTGTTCAAGTTGCAGTGTGTCTCATTCCATCTCTCTCACCTCCCTCTGCCATCCTTTCTTGGTCTTCAAGTTCAGTTTTGTCCCTGCTCTTCTTTTCATAAGCATTTTCATATTTCCTCAGTTTATGTGTACAGCTTTGTCTATTTTTATGCCATATCCAGCTCTCACTGGACTGAGTGTTTCATGGTGACAAGGGCATGGCTGGTCCCTTGTTCTGTCTGTGCCCAGTGCTCATAGCAGCTGGCATGGATGAGGTGCTGCATGGTAGCTAGTAAGCTGTGGAGCCAACACTTGAATCTTTTTGCAAGTTTGGTTCTAGAGCTGCGGTCTGTGAGGTGAGCAGCATCTGTCTTCCAAATTTGTAGGAACTCAGCTCATATCATGTTGTGTATCAGTTTTCCTGCATGGACTCATTACTTAAAATGCTCTTTGAAACGTTGCTCTATTTCTAGTATTGTCTACAGATGTAAGTGAGGTGCTATGCATAGTTATATATCCTTTATCCAAAGGTTTCTTTGACAGGTACTGGCTTGATTGTCCTTTGGTAAGGAACGTTTTATTGGTTAAATTAGAGGTGCTGAAGACGGCGACAGTGGGAGATGATCAAGGCTCTCTTACCGAAATGAGTGTGTGAGAGAGATGAAGTGTGAAGTAGCTTAATTAGTCTCTGAGAATTAGTCTCTCTAGTATATGAACTCTTGAAGTAAGTGTAAGTCTGTGTTCCTGTGTCTAATTAGAAGAGTATGTAGTCTGATAGTAATTACTTTATGAAAATTGTAGCAACTTGCCTACTACTCATAAAACAACCTTTCTCACATTCAGGAACAAAAGGACTGAGGCTGGTCTTATGTCCCAGACATAATTATTAGTCTGATATATATTTCTCTGCTGAGGGGGAGATGTTGTTTTTCAGGAGGAAGAGGACACAGGGAAGACACCCCACAGCTGGTGGGTAGACACCTGTAAGAACCCTGATAGCGTTTCCCTTCATCGAAGACAAGAAGCTGTGTTTGAATTATTAGGAGGTATAAAGATGGAATGTTGGGGCTGGGAATGTGGCTCAGTGGTAGAGTGCTTGCTTAGCATGTATGAAGCCCTGGGTTTGATTCCTCAGTACCACATAAAGAGAAAAAGCCAGAAGTGGTGCTGTGTGGCTCAAGTGGTAGAGTGCTAACCTTGAGCCAAAGAAGCTAAAGGACAATGCTTAAGCCCTGAGTTCAAGCCCAAGACTAGTTAAAAAAAAAAAAAAGAAAAAGAAAAAGAAAAAAAAAGATGGAATGCTGGGCTGTACTGGGGAGGAAGGGAAAAATGTTCAAGCAAGTTAAGAGAGGGTTTAGCATTGGGCCTCTGGTAAGTGCTGTTCACTTTCAGTCTTGCTGCTAACTAAGATGTAGCAAGAGAAGTCAGTAAGAGAGAGTTGCTTGAAGTTAGTGAATAAAGTGTTATATTCCTGCTTTTTAGGAAACAAGACAGCAGTGAGTTAGTATTCTAAAACCCTGGCATTCTCACATTAGACAAATGCATGTCAGATATTGACCTGAAATTAATGCTTAGGATCCATGTTACAGGCTATACTTAACAACTCTTGGTAGTTATCACTGACAGAAGTGTGTGTATTCATATTGTAAAATAGCCTTTTGTATTCAGGTCCTCATGCGTGCTCAGCTTGCTTGCTTGCTTTGCTTGATTGGCAACAGCCAATCAAGCCCAGCTCTTTGCTAGTTATTTTGGAGATTGAATCTTGCAGATTTTTGCCTGGGCTGGCTTTAAACACTGATCAATCCTCAGATTGATCCTCTCAGTAGCTAGGATTATAGGAATGAGCCACCAGTACCCAGCTAAAAGGCCTTTGTTATGTCAGTTTAGTATTTTTTGCAAGAAATTTCACTTCTTGAATAATATAAAATATCAACAAGAAAGAAAGGGAAGTATATTTTGAGGTCCTGAGTTCAAACCTTACTTAGTAACACACACACACACACACACACACACACAGCTCAAGAAAAGTTTATTTCAAAATCTAAAAGATTTAAAAAACCCAGCAAACTTGTTTGCATTGTGAATAGCTTTCTATAAGCTTGTTGTTTGCTCACTTGTTGTGTTACAGGGGTAACATCACCAGCAGAAATTCCTGCAGGTACTATTCTGGGCCTGACGGTGGGGGATCCTCGAATAAACTTGCCTCAAAAGTGGTCCAAAGCTTTGTCCAATCCAGAAAAATGCCAAGGTAAAGTGTAACTACCGTGGTTTTTCGTACTATGCTGAGCACTGCAGACCTCCCTACTACTTCTGTAGTAACTTCATCTGGAAAATCAGGGGAGGGGTCTTAATGTACTCCTTAATGGGGTGATTGGATCAAAGGGCCTGGTGTGTGTGGGGGCATCTTTTAGTTGCAAACCATGTTGCTAGAGCCTTGTTTATTTTATTTTATTTTTTTCTGAGTTCTCTTATTTTTTAGTATGTAGTAGAGCCTGTCTGTCTGCATATTGGGTTCTTGAAAATGCCTGGTGTTTCAGAATTTTAATTGTGAGGAAGGGATATGCACCCGCAGCTGGTCTTGTGCTCAGTGGAAGCCTCTGTCTGACCATACAGATGATCCAGGTTCGAATCCTGGCAAGGCCATCCCAGGTGCTGAAGTATTGAATGTCTTGTTTTTGACTGAGTGGAAAGTCCTGAGAGAGCTGTTTGCTTTGGAGAGATGAGGGGGTGGTGAGACTAGCCAAAATTTTAGTCTGATTTGAGAATTGTAGTAATCATGATAATGTCTTATTTTACTTACTGTCACTTAAACACATGAATTAGAAGAGTAATTAAAATTAGCTTGTGAATTTTGGAAGGAAAAAAATACAGGTACATGCTACAATTTCAGAACTTTTAAAAACTCTACGTACAGTTAGATAGCTTATTTTGGGGGTACCAAACCCTGTCAGACTTCACATGGAAGGCAGATGGATGAAAGGAGTTTGAAGATGACAGGTAAGTTACTTAATTGTGGAGCTTAAGCCTTTAATCAAGTAGTTGCTGCCTCTTTATTTGCTACTTTAAAGCCAGTGTGATCTAGTGCAGCCATAAATGTTACAGTGTGCACTATGCTATTAAAGGCGGCTGTCACAATCACCTTAATGCTATAAACTCGACTCTCTTGTTATTGCACATCCTTTTTAAAAAAAGAGGAAATTCCATATTGAATCCTTTTTAAGTCTTTACCTTCATCTGAGTCAGTTCAAGAAAAATATGTCTTTCTTGAAACACATGATTTAATTTCCACTCTAAAAGTTTACCCTCTTTTTAGTCATTGTATTTTTCATTAAAATGTATTTTACAATGGACACTGGTGGCTCATGCTTGTAATCTTAGCTACTCAGGAGACTGAGATCTGAGGGTCATGGTTCAAAGCCAGCCAGGGCAGGCAAGTCTGTGAGAATATTATCTCCAGTTAACCACCAGAAAACCAGAAGTGAAACTGTGCTTCAAAGTGGTAAGAGTAGCTGGGAGCTGGTGGCTCATGCCTATAATCCTAGCTACTCAGGAGGCTGAGATCTGAGGATCTCGGTTCAAAGCCAGCCTGGGCAGGAACATCCATGAGACTCTTACCTCCAATAAACCACTAGAAAACCGGAAGTGGTGCTGTGGCTCAAGCAGTAGGGCGCTCACCTTGAGCTAAAGAGTGCAGGGACAGCACCCAGGCCCAGAGTTCAAGCCCCACAACTGACAAAAAATAACAAAAAAACAAAGTGGTAAGATTGCTAACCTTCAACAAAAGAGCTCAGGGACAGCAACTAGGCACCCAGCTCCAAGGCCCATGACTGACCAAAAACAAAACAAAATAAAACTATATACATACATACATACATACATATATATATATATATATATGTAAAGTGCTGTAATTTCTTTGACATTATGTTTTATTTGGTATAGAAGCTACATAAAGAAGTAAACTTTTTAAGGAATTATTAAATTAATAATATAAAATTAATATCTCATTTAGGAAGAAGTCAAAATGCAAGGAAAAAGTCTAGTTTGGTAGACTATGTTAATTAAATGGTTAATCTTTGGGAAAATTTCAATGTCAGGATATGTATAATTTTCTGGTATAGTTTCTGTGTGTCCATATCTGACATCATTCTCTGCTTATTTTGACTTCTAACAAAACAAATCAGTTCTAGTGCTACTTAAAACATAAAGAAGTGTTTGCCTGCTTTGGTGCACATTCTTTTTCTGTATGTATATATGTATTTATGTGTGTGTGTACTGGGGATTATATATATATATGTACACATATATTTGTGTGTACACACACATATTTATCTGAAAGTGAAAGAAAAGAAAAGAACAGCTGTGATAGAAAGTAGCAGAAACCTTGTTGCTGGAGAGAGGAGACTAAAATGTAGTTCCAGATTGCAGGGATTTTAAAAGAGAAGATAGGGGCTGGGAAGGTGGCTCAGTGGTAGAGCGCTTGCCTTGCATGCATGAGGCCCTGGGTTTGATTCCTTAGCACCACATAAGCAAAAAGAAAAAAGCCGGAAGTGGCGCTGTGGCTCAAGTGGTAGAGTGCTAGCCTTGAGCTGAAGAGCTGAGGGACAGCGCCCAGGCCCAGAGTTCAGGCCCCACGACCGGACCCAAAAAAAATAAATAAGTAAAAGAGAAGATAGCTGAAGAACTTGAAGCGATAATGTATTCTGGGATGCTTTGAAAGAGTTCACTCAATCATTTAGTGCTTAAGTTGGAATTAATTATTCATAATGTATTTGCAAATCTTTTCACTATGTAACTGGTTTTCTGAGTAAGATTTAAAAATTCGAATTGGGTTGTGGGCGTAGCGTGGTGCTAGTGTGATTGCCCAGAACGCATGGGCCCTGAGGTTGAGTCCCAGCATTGCAAAAACAAAACAAGCCAAAAAAGTCTCCAAACTAAATCTGTACTGTACTCTCTGATGCTTTACTTGCTGCCCTTAACACTTGCTGGTTTGTTTTGATTTGAATATTTCTTTCCTTCTTTATTTTTTTTTTTTTTGGTCAGTCATGGGGCCTGAACTCTGGGCCTGGGCACTATCCCTGAGCATTTCAGCTCAAGGCTAGCGCTCTACCACTTGAGCCACAGCGCCACTTCTGGCTTTTTCTGCTTACATGGTACTGAGGAATCGAACCCAGGGCCTCATGCATGCAAGGCAAGCCACTATACCACTGAGCCACCTTCCCAGCCTGTGATTTGATTATTTCAATTAGTCCTTGTCAGCCTGAGAGGAATTTGCTGTACTGTTGAACATGAGGGCCAACAGGGTAACACAATGGAAATATACATCTCAGCATGTATGAGGGCCTGAGTTCAATCCCTAGCATCAGAAGAAAAGCAAGGGGAAGGAGAAGTTAATGTGGAGGGAGAGAAAAGGTGAGAGGGAGAGAAAAAGAAAATACTGAACTTATAATACTCTATAGGCTTATTTCCTCTCATCTTTGTCTTTAAAATACTCTGGCTATATGACTTTTGCATGCTCCCTAAGCATGACGACTCCAGTTACTGTTAGAAGGCTGGGTGAGAGATCATTTCCACCCTTTTCCAGTTCTTACAGGTACTTTTAGAGTGTAGAGCTACAGTTGCCTTTTAGTAATGGTCATTTTGTCATAACTCCTTTGTTTCTGCTTTTGAGTAGGAAAAAAAAAAAAAACCTATGCTAGAGTTATCTGGTCTGCATATTTATAAAATAGAATGACTTTGAAAAGTACATCTTTCTCCCCTGCCAAATCTCTGCAACCCCTGATCTTTTCACTGTCTTTATATTTTGCCTTTTCCAGAATGTCATGTTGGAATCATATAGTACACAGCCTTTTCATTTTGGCTTCTTTTTCTTATTAATATGCATTTATGGTTCTTCTGTGTCTTTTCATGCATTGATAGCTCATTTTTTTCTTAGCACTCTGTAGCAATAGTTAGTATTCTATCATTTAGAATATTTGAAGAGGAAGTGGCGCTGTGGCTCAAGCAGTAGAGCTGAAGAGGACAGGGACAGTGCCCAAGCCCAGAGTTCAAGCCCCACAACCGACCAAAAAAAAAAAATTTGAAGTTAAGTTAGTGCTTCTTTTTTTCTTTTTCTTTTTCCTGTGCCTTTATACCCTCAATACAAGTCATCTCTTGTCTGCATCTCAGGCTGAACAATACCTCATTTCTGTCCCTCTAGTCTGTGGCAGGGCTCCACAGGAAAGCATTCTGGGTAGAACAGGATTGTTAGGAATGGAGCTTAATTTTCATAGACAGGCAGAACTTTTGAAGCATGTAGCTTTGACACTGGAGACCCTATGGGTTAGAGTCTGTTTGAAGAAGAGCAATGTACTGAAGCATTTGCTGTTTATGAGCCACTTTTTTCTCAGATCTGTTCACCAATTTAATTTTCTCCACCTTTGTTCTTACCGAATTTTGTTACACTGTGGCCTGGTCACTTCCAACTTATTACTATTTTTCCAGCCATCAGATCTATCCAGGTATGTGCTTTTAAGTGACATTTATGTGTTGGCATTGTGGAATCATAGCCAAAACTTATGAATTGTACTTTTAAAAATTCTTTAACAAAATTAGATTTTGAAGATTTTTCCCCCAGTGATTAAATGAGTGCAACTAGGAAGTGTTTTATATTAATATTTAAATATAGATGTTTTTCACTGAAAATGGTCTTTCCCCTTCTCCAATAGCATACTTTTAGTATGGTGTAGGTTTCACAGAGAATCATCACAAAGGAATGAAGATGTATGTTTACAGCAAGGAATAACAATTTCACTAAAAATAGGTCATCAGAAATTAGCTAAGGGGAAGAAGAAGATGATTATGTTAAAAAGTGGAATTAAGCAGTTGTTTAGAGCAACTTAATATTGTGATATTTACATCTTAGACATGAAGTAACTAGCAAAGGGAATTTTTTTTTAGCAGCCTGTGCTATTCCATGGACTGTGAGAGGAACTGTAAGAGTAATCTAATCAAGTAACTCCTTCTGTATAATATATATGTAAAATACAGTTTTTTGTCATGAAAAATCTACTTTAACGTAGGAAATGGCTACAGTTGATGAAAGGATGTGGTTTGAAGGCTGTTTTTTTTCCTCTTAGATAATGAGAAGGTTAGACAGCTGCTTCTGGAGGGTGTGCCTGTGGAATGTGCCCATAGCTTTATCTGGAACCAGGATATCTGTAAGAGTGCCACAGAGAATAAAATCTCCGATCAGGTAACTGTAGTAGTGTAATGCTTACTACTACAATCATGAATGCCAGGTGAAAGTCGTCATTCTAGAGATGCTAAAAGTGATTTTATACTTTATAAAGTGCCATAGACTTTATTTACAAGCAGCTTACTGATTCTGTAATCCATACTGTAGTTTTGTTTTGTTTTTGGGAAGAGAGATTTTTAGAAAAAATACAAAGTGATAAACTCATGACTGAAATGTTTTTCTTCCTAATATTTTCCATAAGTAGTCTTTTTTTTTGTTCTGTTTTTTATTTAAATGCTGGTTCTGGGGCTTAAACTCAGGACCTGGGCACTGTCCCTGAGCTATTTTGCTCAAGGCTAGTGCTCTACCACTTGAGCCGCAGCTCCACTTCTGTTTTTCTGGTGGTTAATTGGAGATTAGAGTCTCACAGACTTTACTGCTGGGGCTAGTTTGAATCATGATTCTCAGATCATGGCCTCCTGAGTAGCTAGGATTATAGGAATGAGCCACCAGTGCCCTGCCTATTCTGTTTTGGTTTGTTTTTAATTTAAATTTCACAATGATTAGCTCCCATGATCCTGGCATTGTACTAGATGCCGGGATAGAAGAGTAGGATATGGCTAAGTACAAGGTCCTCAGGAAGCCTAAGGAAGGAAGACTGAGCCCAAACTTAAGAGACTAAGGGTGACTTCCTAGATGGAGGAGCTGGTATTTGAAATTGCTCTCGAATGAGAGTCAGGACTTTTAATTTAAAAGCCACTATTATAAAAAAGCAACTTCTACACTTTTTTGTTTTTTTAAAATGTTAATGTTGACTATAACCATATGCCTCTCATAGCTGGGCTGACAGATGCATGCCCCAATGCCCAGCTATTTTTGTTGTTGTTGAGATGAGAGTCTTAACTTACTTCTGGCTGGCCTTGAACCAGATCCTTCTGTGTACCTGGGATTACGTTTTAAACCACTATCCTTGTTCACACACATACAAAAATTAATTAAAAATAGACTTTGGGACAGGGAGAAAGTACAGTATCATTCTGTAACTTTGTATCTGTTATATTCTAGCCCAAATTTAGCAAGTTGAAGATAATTGGACGTTTTCTATCGAAATTCTTACGTAGAGAAGTTTTTTTTTTTTTTTTTTTTTTTAATTTACAAAAGGAATACTCTGTACTTAAAATGGCTCACATTTATTCAGAACCCTTTTTTTTGGGCAGTGCTGAGTTCGAACTCAGGGCCTTGTGCCTACTTGGCACGTACTTTGCCTCCTGAGCTTATACTCGCAGCCTAAGAATATTTACCTTTTTAAAACTAAAGAGAAGAGAGAGACCCAGTAGGATCTCCTAGTACTGGATTGCTTGTCTTGAATTATTTTCTTCCACTTTAGGATTTAAACCGGATGAGAAGTGAGTTGCTGGTACCTGGGTCACAGCTTGTTTTAGGTCCCCATGAATCCAAGATCCCTATACTTTTGATTCATCAGCCAGGAAAAGTGACGGGTGAAGACTGGCTGGGCTGGGGAAGCGGCTGGGATATCCTGCTTCCGAAGGGCTGGGGCATGGCTTTCTGGATTCCATTCGTAAGTTCCTTTTTTGATTCCAACTAAGAGTTGTTATGTTAAAACACTTTTTGTTTGTTTGTTTGTTTGCCAGTCCTGGGGCTTGAACTCAGGGCCTGGGCACTGTCCTTGAGCTCCTTTTGCTCAAGGAAAGTACTCTACCACTTGAGCCACAGTACCACTTCTGGATTTTTCTGTTTATGTGGTACTGAGGAAGTGAGCCGAGGGCTTCATGTATGCTAGGCAAGCGCTCTATCACTAAAGCCACATTTCCAGCCTAAAAACGAATTCTGGATACAGGATACTCCATACTTGTTGTCCCTAGAACCAGATTCTCATTAATAAGGCCTATGCTGAGATATTTTGAAAATTTGAGAGTTTTTCCCCTAGGCATTTTATTTTAGTTGTATTGTTATAATTATTAACACAGCAGTGGTACAAATCGACTGCATTATATCCTTATATACCTACATCATACACTCATCATACCCACCCACCCCTGTACACTTGCCCACCTTTCCTTTTAGATTCTAGTTTGGAAGTTTTAGAGGTTTCGAAGTGATTTTGTAATAGTAGCAACAAAACATTCAATTTTCAACCTTAAGAAATTGTTATAGTTTTTCTTCTTTTGTACCAGTCCTGGGGCTTGAACTCAGGGATTGAGTGTTCTCCCTGAGGTTTTGTACTGAAGGCTAGCACTCTACCACCTGAACCACAGCTTTACTTCTGGCTTTTTGGTGGTTAATTAGAGTTAAGAGTCTCACAGACTTTTCCTGCCTTGGCTGGCTTCGAACCACAATCCTCAGATCTCAGCTTCCTGACAAGAGTACAGGATGGGCTACCAGCACCCAGTAAGAAATTTGTTGTACTTTTAAAGCAGCCTTTATAAATGTATAGAATTTACTTTTCTGGCTTTAAAATGTTAATATTAACTACAATCATATGGTACTAAAAATGGCACTTAAAATTTTTTATTAAAATCTTACGTATATTTTTCTGGTTAGTTTAAATATTACTTTAATGCTAGATATCATAAACAGCATTTTAGGCTATTAGATTCATGCAAGTGATATCTTTGTAGCAATTATGCCTAGTGTGAGGGGCATTTAGTTAATCATTTAGAAGTGGGAAGATTTTAATTTTTTTTATTATACTATGTTTGAAGCAGATGATAGTCATATAATGAATGCCTGTGTGCCCTTCAGCTTAAGAGAGATTGGGTTCACTGGTAGTGTTCTAGTGCCTCTTTCCAGTCCTATCTTCCTCCTTTCTAAAAGTGCATATTTTATAACTGAATTAAATATTCATACTCCACAGTACATTGGACATGGGACAGCTTTGTGTGTGTGTGTGTATGTGAGTCCTGGAGTTTGAACTCAGGGCCTGGGTTCTATCCCTGAGCTTTTATGCTCAGGATTGTACTCTATCACTTGAGCCACAACTCTATTTCTAACTTTTTGATGGTTAATTGGAGATAAGAATCTCATGGATTTTCTTGCCCAGACTGGTTTCAAACCATGATCCTCAGATCATGGCCTTCTGAGTAGCTAGGATTACAGGTATGAGCCATTGGCACCCAGCTGGACATCTTTTTAAGCTATATAGCAAACTGTATGCATGCTTTTGCAACTTGGTGTGTTCGCTTGGTAAACTCTTGATTGTTGAAGCTCCATTTAATTCACATTTATATTGTATGGTAATTACATATATTCATATATATATGTGTGTGTGTATATAACAGCACATATACACACATAGATATTATAATGTATACAGTAGTACTACTGTTCCTCTGTATTTATTCATTCTCTTTTGATGAGCAATTTGATTGTTTCCCATTTTTCTCATAGAGACAGTTAAGCAGTGTCACTTATAAGTTGGTAAATGACAGTTAAGTTAGGAAATTTGGACATTTCTTTCAGATCTATCGAGGTGCCAGAGTTGGAGGGCTGAAAGAGGCCATGGTGCATTCACAGTATAAAAGTTTGCCTAACATCCCAGGAGATTTTCCAGACTGCCCTGCTGGCGTTCTGCATGCTGAAGAGCAAGCTAAGAGTTTTCTTGAAAAATACAAAAGGTGAAATTGCTTTCTCTGCCTGGCATCTTAGGGGGTAGAAGAGGTGCCAGTTCATGTAGACTGGCAGTGTGGGGATGGCTTGGGGGACTGAGTGTATAATGTGGAGCTTTTGTGGACTTTCCCTTGAGCTGCATTACCAAGAAGTTCCTAAGAACATGTTACCTGGACAGGAGATATTTGGCTTGTTTAGGCATGCCCAGGTTATAGCATTTTCTCTTGGCTATTTGCTGACTTTGATAGTGGACCGAAAACTGAAAAGTGGACATGCATTTCAGAAACCTAGATGTTCACTACTAACCCCTTCCCCATCTCATGGGGAACTTCTTATCTAAGTAGTACATACTTATAAAATGTAGACTGGCCACTGTTAGTTCATGTCTGTAATCCCAGCTACTCAGGAGGTTGAGATCTTGAGGATCACAGTTTGAAGCCAATCTGATCAGGGAAGTATGTGAGACTCTTACCTTCAATTAACAACAAAAAGCTGGAAATGGAGCTATAGCTCAAGTGGTAGAAGCCTTGAGTACAAAAGCTCAGGGACAGGACCAGGTCCAGAGTTCAAGCCCCAGGAGTGACCAAAAAGGCAAAAAAGTAATGAAACTCTGGTAATAGGTAAAGTACGTTCTATACTGGTATAATCCTGCCATCGGCGAGATAAGCACTGTGTTTGTATTTTAGCATCTATTTATCCAGACATTTTTCTTTTTGTCTTTCATTGGAGAGGAAAGGGTGAGGGCCCTTCCCTCCTTTCTATGTGAATGTTAAGAACTTCCCTTACATTGCTGGCTCCTAGAAGCACAGACACTGTTCTCTATTGTGGCATCTACAGTGTCCAGCCAGTGCTCTGTGCAGTAGGCCTTGATAATTTTCATTGCTTTCTGCTGAACCAGAGAATAATCGAATGTTGCAGTTCCTTAACTGTGGGCTCCACAAAGGCTGAATTGTGTCTTTTTGTTGGCTGCTGAAACCAGACAGGCACAATGTCTGGCTTCCCAACCATTAGCTGAATGATAGATACTCGATGGAGTGTATACATGGTGATGCATTCCTGGATTGTCACCTTGCTAGCTTCCCCCCCCCAAAAAAAAAACAGGGTCTTACTATATAGCCCAGGCTGGCCCCAAACTCTTGATCCTTTGCCTCAGCCTCCTCAATGCTGGTATTACAGATATGCATTACAACATCTGGCTTTTTTTTTTTTTTTTTTTGGGTCCGGTCGTGGGGCCTGAACTCTGGGCCTGGGCACTGTCCCTCAGCTCTTCAGCTCAAGGCAAGCGCTCTACCACTTGAGCCACAGTGCCACATCTGGCCTTTTCTGCTTATGTGGTGCTGAGGAATCGAACCCAGGACCTCACGTATGGGAGGCAAGCACTCTTACCACTGAGCCACCTTCCTAGCCCCAGGACAGCAGTCCTTTACTATATGTTCATATTGACAGTCAAGTCCTTTTGTGTTTGCTGAATAACTGATGATAGTACTTATTTCCTTACTGGGCTTTTGTGTTTTTATTTTTCTTTCTTTCTTTTTTTTTTAAACTCAGGGCCTAGGTGCTGTCCTTGAGGTTTTGTTTTGTTTTTTTTTTTTCCTTAAGGCAAAAAAGAGAGTGTTTTACCTCTTGAGCCATGACTCCACTTGAGGCTTTTTAGTGGTTAATTGGAGATAAAGAGTCTCATGAGCTTTCCTACTAGTCTGGCTCCAAACCATGATTCTCAGATCTCAGCCTCCTGAGTAGCTAGGATTATAGGTGTGAGCCACCAGTGCCCAGCTATTTAGACTTTATAATGTATGCATAGTTATCATAGTTACAAGTTTTTTTAAAAAAATAAACTAATTTGGAACCTGCCCCTTTCATTTAACAATGCATTGAGGCTAATTTCCCACATCAATAAATAGGACTCAAAACTGCATGTTAGTGCCCTTCTTTGGTCCAGAGCCAAATGCTAAACGGTTCAGGTTTTGTGGACCATGTTTCGGTGACAACTCAGCCCTGCCACTGTGGCATGAGACAGTCACTGATGTCCTAGAAACAAGTGAAGGTGGCCGTCTTCTAATTGCAGTATTTATGGATACTCAAATTTGCATTTCATGAAATTTCCATGTGTCATGAAATATTATTCTTATGCTCTTTTCAACCATTTAAAAATATAAAAATCATTCTTAGCTTTACAAGTTGTACTGAAATAGAACACAGGCAAGATTTGTCCTGTGAGTCATAGCTTGCCAGCTCCCAAATAGAACTCTGAGTGATTCTTTGGGATTTGTAGGGTGGAATTTTATCAATGGCCCTCTGGGTTATTTCTGATTTCTTGCTGTGTGCTGCTCTGAACATCTCCTTATAAATATCTCTGAATGCTTGTCTGACTTATTCATCCCTTTGTCATATATTTTACTTAGAAACGATTCTAACCTCTGGGGCTATAGCAAGGACAAGATTGACTGAGTCTCTATTCTTGGTGGAGTCATGTTTCCAGGCTGGTATGGGGCTCTCGGATCAAGTAGGGAGGCTGAAATTCAAGAGCGAAGGCCTTAAGCAGGGAAGAGGGACTGAGGTCCAGTGTCCAGGTGAAGGGGTGGTAGCTGATACACCTGGGGTCAGTTCTTCCATTTTAATAGGCTGGGAGAGACCCCTGAAGTTTGATACAAATGTAGGCAGATGTTTGATGAGAAGATGGGGAGCACTCTTGATTATATCTTCTTAGTCAACAAAGTGGTGAGGTTACAAGCTGTTTGTAAGAAGGGGAAAGGAGTTGGCAGGGTTTTTGGTTTTTTTGTTATTGCTTTTTCCTTTTTGGTTATTGTTTTCTTTTTGTTTTTGTAGTTCTGGAATTTGAATTCAGCTTTGCACTTGCTATGCATGTACTTTACCACTTGAGCCACATCTCAGTCTCTTGTGCTTTTTTTTTTTTGCTGTTGTTATTTGAATAGGGTCTCACTTTCTTGCCCAAGCCAGGCTGGACTTTGATCCTCCCATTTATGCTTCTTACTTTGCTGGGATGACAGGGGTGCACCACTGTGCCAAATTTTTTATTGGTTGAGATGAAGTCTTTTGCCCAGGTTAACCTTGATCTTCAAGCCTCCCAAGTATCTGGGATTATAGGTGTCAGCCACTATATCTGGGTTGTCAGATTTGAGGAGAGACAAATTGTAAATATTTTGAACTTCAGGTCTTGCTAGGCAGAAGCGCTACCACTTGAGCCACATCTATAGTCCAAAAGCTTTTCCTGTTTTTTGGAGAGTTTTGCTGTTTGCCTGGACCCAGCCTGGACTATGATCCTCTTTTTTCTGTTTTCAGCTTCTCCAATATATATTTTCTGAGTAGCTGGGATGACAAGTCCATGCCACCTTGCACAGTTACTGACTGTAGTGGGGCTGGGGGATCTCACTAACTTTTTGCACAAGTTGGCTTTAAACCATGATCTTCTCAATCTCTGCCTCCTGAGTAGCTGGGATTATAGGCATGAGCCACTGCACCCAGCTGATATATCTGGTTTTAAAGAAAAGGTTCTGCTGGGCACCAGTTTCTCATGCCTATAATCCTAGCTACTCAGGAGGTTGAGATCTGAGGATTATGGTTCAAAGCCAGGCTGAGCAGGAAAGTCTGTAAGACTTTTATTTCCAATAAACCAGCAGAAAACTGGAAATGGTGCTAAGGCTTAAGTGGCAGTGCACTAGCCTTGAGCTGAAGAGCACAGGGACAGTGCCCAGGCCCAGAGTTCAAGCCCCATGACCAACAAAAAGAAAAAAAAAAAAAAAGGCTCTTGCTGTTTAGTTGCTGAGTACTGCATTTAGGATTCAGTACTTAGGATGCTATGTTTCCCTTGCTCTTACCACCCTGGGCCCTTTTAATAATAGATCAGATGGTAGGTGAAAAACGGTATCTTATTGGTTTAAATATGTTCTGTTAGCTAGTTGATTTTATTTATTTCTATTTGTACCTTGCTGCTGCTTATTCTTTGGACATGTATCTGACCCTTTATTTTTGTTTCTTTTTTGCATGTGTATTGGGGTTGGAGTTGGAGACAGGCTTACTATATACGATGGAGTGTTCTACCACTGATTCCCAGTCCTGCTTGTTGAATTGTTCTTTGTACTGGAAGTTGAACTTAGGTCCTCATGCTCTTACTTGGCTTTTTCTCTCAAGACTGGCACTCCCTCACTTGAGCCACAGCTCCACTTCCAGTTTTTTGTTTGTTGCTAAATGGAGACAAGAATCTTAAGGACTTTTCTGCTGTAGATGGCTTCAAACCTTGATTCTCAGATCTCAGCTTCCTGAGTAGTTAGGATTACAGACGTGATGCCTAGCCACTGTATTGTTTTATTTTGTCAGTCATGGGGCTTGTACTTGGCCTGGGTGTTGTCCCTGAGCTTTTTCTCAAGGTGAGAGCTCTACCACTTTGCGCCACAGCTCTACTTTCAGTTTTCTGGTGGTTAATTGGAGATAAGAGTTTCATAGACTTTCCTGCCTGGGCTGGCTCTGAACCCCAATGTTCGGATCTCAGCCTAGTAACTCGGATTGTAAGTATGAGCCACCAACACCTGGATGCTTTATTGGTATTTTTTAAGACCAAAGAAAACAAGCTTGGATATGGAGATAACTATTGTTCTTTATTAAGCATTTCTTGGAAAGTTTTTTCTGTGTTTATTGCTTAAACATGTATAAGTGGCCATAATTATTTTAATTGTCCATTCTTCAGTTCAAAATGCGTTCTCTTCTTTGTTTTTTTTTATCAGACGCCCTCCTGCCAAACGTGCCAACTATGTTAAGCTTGGCACACTGGCACCTTTCCACTGTCCCTGGGAACAGTTGACTCAGGACTGGGAGTCCAAAGTCCAGGCCCGAGACACATCTCCTGTAGCTCTCAGTAGAGAGGCGGGTGATGCAAGAAGACTCGGGGAGCCGCACGCTGCCACGCCTGAGCAAGCTCCGCAGATCTCAGATGAAGCAGGCTCATCCACACGTGACCCCAGCGAGCCAGAGACCATGGACACTGAGTGTCAGGACCAGGGAGTGGGGGAAAAGGTTCCAGACCAGAGTCCTGGCGAGAACCAGACTGCTGCCATCAATAGTCAACTCTGTGTGCTTAGGTAAGTATAGGCAACTTCTGGATACATTTTGCCTTGACCAGCTCACAGGATATGAAAGTTTTATTTAGATAATAATAGTAATAATCAAATGATATAAAGTTATTACTGTTATTATTGTTGTTATTATTGCAGTGCTGGAGATTAACCCAGCACCATATTCATGCTCAGCAAGCACTCTTATCACTGAATTACACTCCACATCCTGCCTTCAACTTTTTTTCTTTTTTAGTCATGGGCCTTGAACTCAGGACCTGGGTGCTATCCCTGACCTTTTTTGCTCAAGGCTAGCATGCTCCCACTTTGAGCCATAGAAGCACTTCTGATTTTAGGTGATTAACTGGAAATAAGAATCTCACAGACTTTCCTGCCTGGACCTCAAACTTTATTTCTTAGATCTCAGCCTCCTGAGTAGCTAGGATTGGCGTGAACTAACAGTGCTCAGCTGCCTTCAACTTCTTAAACTTTAATCTTTTAGTTTCAGTATTGCAGACACATAAGAAGGAAAATACTTTTACTAAAATATATGAAGGAATCTTTTTAGTTTTTTAAAAATTATAGTTTTGATACTTGCCCACATGTAGTATGAAAAAATTAATTGTAGCAATGCCTTATCTTTTTTTTTTTTTTTTTGTCGGACCTGGGGCTTGAACTCTGGGCCTGGGCACTGCTTCTGGGGGTTTCTTTTTGCTTGAGGCTAGCATTCTACCACTTGAGCACCACTTCTGGCTTTTTTCTGTTTGTGTGGCTGAGGAATCGAACCCAGAGCTTCATGCATGCTAGGCAAGCGCTCAACCGCTAAGCCACATTCTACATCCCACCTTATCTTCTAATTGTACATTTCTTCCTTGAATAAACTATCCTAAAATGTATGTCTCTGGTTTTACATAGGAGTAGAAAATTACTGAAGCAACTGTCAGCTTGGTGTGGGCCCAGCTCTGCGAACAGCCGGGCAGCCCAGTGGGCTCCTGGCAGAAGCCAGCGAGAACTGAGTAGAGAGGCTTGCCTGTCTGTCCTGGACCTCTTCCCCAGGGCCCTGGTATGGGTCCACCTGTCCCTCCTCCAGAAAGGCAGCCCAGAGCCACACACCATGATCTGTGTCCCAGCCGAGGAAGACTTGCTTCAGCTCAGGCAGGATCGCCACTACTGTGGGCCCCAGGAGCCCAGACACAACGATCCATTCAAGAGGAAGATTGTAAAGCAAAAGGAGAAGAAGAAAATAGTGAGGAGGCAGGACGGAGGACTCGCTCCTGCCGAGGTTGTGGAGGCCCCTGTGCAGGAGGCTCTGACGTTGGGCTTGTGGTCAGGCCCCCTCCCAGGTGTGATTTCACACTGTTCCAGGGTCCTCCTTGGCTTCGTCACTCAGGGAGATTTTTCCATGGCTGTTGGCCATGGAGAAGCCCTGGGCTTTGTGAGCGTGACAGGCTTGCTAGACATGCTGTGCAGCCAGCCACCAGCCACAAGGGGCCTGGTGCTGCTCAGGCCGCCTGGCTCTCTGCAGTACCGATTTGCAAGAATTACCATCGAGGTGTGACTGGTTCACTGCTTGTGAACACTGATCAGTTGATCGATTGATGGATGGTAGCTCTGTTTGCCAAGTCACAGTGGGAGAGTCTGCCTTCCCTTCAATTTCAAAATATCATGTGTCATTCCTTAGAAATAAGAATAAAAAAGCACACTTTATGCAAATAATGAAATGTTTATACTGTTTCAATCATCTCATTTGTTTCCATCTTTCCTTGTCCTTGTAGCACCGTAAAATTGTTTGGCAGGTATAGCCAGATGCTTTTATGATCTCTTGGTTTTGCTGAACAGTATCAGAGACTCTATCATTTATTGTCCCTCTCCCTTTTTCTGTTTTAGTTAGGAATGAAGAGCTGTGGGGTCTCTTTGAAAAGCCTTATACTCGTGATAAATTGCAGTAGCTGTTTAATGACTTGATTGTTACTGAAGAGGAAATGGAACTACTTAGGTCTTTTATGGGTCGCGCTTAATTGTGTGCAGAAATCAGCAAATGAACATCCTTATGCCTTAAGGAAAGAAGATTCTCATTTCCAGGCAGCTCAGTGTATCACAAAAGTGTTGGGCCAGAATTAAAATGAGGCTTTGTGATATTATGCTCCTTTGACTTTTTTGTTGCCCAGAGTATAATCCTAGTAATTACTTAAATTCTTTTATATAAAAACTTTTAGCTTTTGTTTCTGCCAAGAATAGCTGAAAGCCATAAAGGAGCATTTATGCAAAGATGTTCTGTGAAATGTATTGCCTAGGAATAAAGCCTTTCTAGGTCAGGTTGATTTGAGATCCTCTGGCTTAATAAGCAGAGTTAAGCGTTTCTTTATGAAAGGACTTCTGGAAGCTTTCATGTGATAATGTGCATGGTGAGTGTGTAGGAAGTAGGTCATAGTGTATAGGATGTTGTAAGTCTTTGTGCTGCTGAAACTCCTTTATAAGCAGCCCTTTGTGGTTTTGGTATTTGGGACACATTTGGCAAGGGCCTTGACTGGCCCTGTGTCCAGCACTAGTGCCAACATCATCCAGGAAGTCTGGAGAGGGGCAGAGAAGAAACCTCATTCTGCCCCAGAGAAAGAGTGCGCTCATCATTGTACCTTTTCTTCAAGTGGGGAAACGCATCAATCTCTAGCAGAGTCTGAGTGGGATTACTTAGTGTAAATGTGCAGTGAGGCATTGTTTCATGTCAATGCATTGGGTTTTCACCATAGCGTTTCACAGGAGAGGCCTCTGGCACGGAGAGACACAGCGGGCCATCCAGTAGTCAGGGAGCGCCTTGAGCCAAGGAGATGGCTGGTGTTTCTCTTCTTTCCAGCCTCTGAGCATCTGTGTCTAACCCAAATCAGCTGAAAGAGTGTAACCACATGGAGTCTGCAAACAGAATAAATGAAAATGTCACCTGATGTTCACTTGTGGATATTTATTGGACCACTTCTCATTTGTTTTTCTAGGCTCTAAGCTACTTCATCTGTGCCTGAGCAGTCTTGATGACAAGTCTGAGCATGCCATGTAGTCCCCTTCCCTCATTCCAGGGGACAGGGCACATTTGCAGCCCCTCTGCTTGGTGGGGCCCACCAAGCAGCATGCAATGAAAGGATGGACCAGCATCTCCCACAGAGTATGTCTGGGAGCTTTGGTCCCTGGAAGAAGGCGTTTCCTGGCTCAATGAGTTGAGGAAGAGTTCTCCCCCACAGCTTCCTCTTGGAGCTTCACAGTGAGCGTTTACAGCCAGGGTTCAGCATGTCTGCAAGCAAACAGGTCTGGTTTTCAGACTCACACCTTTTTTTCCCTTTTCCATACCAGTTGTCCAGAGAACACTAGTTTTGTAGACTATACTTGGAAAACAGTCTGCGCTTACGTGCAGTGAAGAATCCCTATCTCTGCCGAGAAAGACTTGGGATGGTTTTCCCTTCACAGCAACTGAATTGCTTAATGTGCTCATTTTGATTCTGCCAGGTGCCTAGGACTGTACCAGGGCCACAAAGCTACCAAGTAAGGAAGCCATAGCCCTGTCCTGTTGAGGTGACTTGCACCTACCAAATCAGGAAGTGTGTAAAGGACACTTGGCACTGGTGGCGTATGCCTGTAATCCTAGCTACTTAGGAGGCTCAGATCTGAGGATTGCAATTAGAAGCAAGCCCAGGCAGGAGAGTCCACAAGACTTATTTCAAATTAACTAGTAAAAAGCTGTGTAAGTGGAAGTGTGGCTCAGGTGGTAGAGTGCTAGGCCACAAGTTCAGACCCCAGTACTGGCATGCACATGCACACACACACACCCCTTTCCCCCAAAAGAAGGTAGTTGTGAGCTGAACAGTAAGACCAATTACACACTGGAATTATTTTAAGACAGAGAAATGATTCTTTCAGGGGATTATACTTAGTGGTGAGTGGTGTTTTTTCCCCCCACTGTTTTAGTGCCAGTCCTGGGGCTTGAACTCAGAGCCTGGGCACTGACCTTGAGCCACACCTCCACTTCTGACTTAAAAAAAAAATGCAGTATTATTTTATATGATCAGAGGCATATAAACATTGCACCTCTGTGTTCCTTCCCTAAGAATATCCTCTGTTCTCACGGTGTGTGAATGCCTAGGGCCTGTATAATTTATCATGCACACATCTGACTTTTTGTTGCTTAATTGAAGATAAGAGTATCGCAGATTTGTCTGCCTGGGCTGGCTTTGAACTATGATTCTATGAGTAGCCTCCTGAGCAGCTAGGATTACAGGTGTGAGCCACTGGCGCTTGGCAAGGTATTTCTTAAAGGCTTCTTCAGTGGTCATGTTGTACAGTTTGAGTTAAGAACTACCACCTTAGAGGTCTGGGTCCTTGGTCCCTCTGACCTTGGAAAGTATGAATGAGTCAGGATGCCATAGAAGTCCGTAACTCCTGTCCCCTTAGCAGGCTTCTTGGCTAGTATAAAACTAGCTTCTGTGCGACTGTAATGTGAAATGTGCGGGTGTAAACTTAATGAGAGTGCGTGTGTAGGGCTGGGTGACTGGGAGCAGGGCTGCGGCCTGGGAAGGAAAACAGTGGAAATACTCAGGTTGCTCCTAAAACACCAGTGGTGGAGTGCCCACCCCTGGGGATACAAACGGAACTGGTCAGGGCCGGAATCTGGATGTTCCTCCGTGTGTGTGTGTGTGTGTGTGTGTGTGTGTGTGTGTGTGTGTGTGTACAGGTGCAAGTGCATCAGTACTGAAGCTTGAACTCAGGGCTTGGGTGCTGTCCCTAACTTCTTTGCTTACGGCTGTTAATTGGAGATAAGAGTCTCCTGGACTTGGCTGGGGGCTAGCTTCAAAACTTGATCTGAACGCAGCCTCCTGATTAGCTAAGATTACAGGCAATAGCCACTGGCACCTGGCCCTAGTGACTCTAGCCTAGGTTGAAAACAGTATGCCCCTCTTAAATTGAGGAGCCGGTGTAGTTAGTGAGAGAAGCAGTGAAGAGTGGGGAGCCTTGCAGGGTGGTGAAGGGTTTTAGGGCACACCACTCTTCCTGGGTGTCCTTGGTTGGTGTGCTCTGGAGCTGAGCTGACAGCCAAGTGCTCATCAAAATAGTTCCTCTTTCCCCCTTTCTCTTCCTCCTCCTTCTCCTCTTCTTCCCCCTCCCTCCTTCTTCTTCTGTCGGACTTTAACTCAGGACCTGGGTGCTGTCCCTTTGAGCCATAGCTCCACTTCCAGATTTTGAGTGGTTAATTGGCGATAAGAGTCTCACAGACTTTCCTGACCAGGCTGGGTTTAAACCGCAGTCCTCGGATCTCAGCCCCCTAAGTAGCTAGGATTGCAGGTGTAAGCCACCGGCTCACATCTCTCACTTTAAAAAATATTTAAATTTAGCCAGGTACTGTTCTGGAGAGAGCCTGCCTCCCCCCCCCCCCCCCCCCCCCGCCCCCGCCACCACCTCTGTGCATTTCAAGGTTGTTTACAGATGTGGTACTCCTAGTTCATCTCCACTCATTGTGGTTCGCTGTGCTTGGAACACAATGGTCTTTCAGTCATTGTATCAGATGAGCCCTTGACCCCTCCAGGTTTTGGTTTGTGCTGTGTTCTGCCGTAATGGAATATGCTCACCCTGATATCCCATCCTTGGAGCTTGATTTTCACATTGCCTAAGAGGCTTTCTCTGCTACCCTATTTAAAATAGGGTACTAGTATGGTGGTGCACACCTGTTATCCCAGCTACTCTGGTAGTGAAAACAGGAGGATCATGGTTTGAGTCTACCCTGTGTAAAGTTAGTGTGAGATCCTCTCGGAAAAAACTAAAAGCAAAAGGGCAGAGGGCGTAGACAAAGTGTGAGGCCTTGAATTTTGTCCTTAGTACTACATTTTCCTCTGTCCCATTATATATACAATGATGAGTATTAATTATTATATATCAGAACCTAGAGTTTGTGTGTGTTGACTTGTCGATTCCATTATTAGTCTGCGAACCTCAGGAATGTAAGACCATACATTCTTTGATTATTCTTTTACCCCAGATTCTGACACAGTGCTTTACTCATAACTTACGTTTAACACTTTTTTAAAAAAAATCGATACATTAGCAAGAGGGGTTTGTATTAAACTAGTTTTACTGCATGTGGGGCATATGTTGCAATGACCAAATTTAACACTAGATGGTGCCAAGACACAAGTAAATAGCAGTTCTGGAAAAATCCCATCAGAATCAAAATGTAATTCAGTTGTATTTGTCCTTGCCGTGGGGACATGGATGAGGTCACGGATCAAGTAGTAGTCCCTTTTGGATGCAGATCCTTGTTAGTTTGAAGTGCTTAGTAACTTTTAAAAGGCACCTAGAGCAGAAGCAACTTTGAAAGCTTTTTATCTTGAGTGAATTCCATCCACCTCATCCCCACTGAATCTGCCCCTCCATCACAAGCTGGTGATTTCACCTCTACCTTGACCTTGACCTTGACAGTCAAAATGCCCAGTTAGTGCCAGAGTCATCCTATGCCCAGACATTCTTTTTGTCAGCTAACATTGAGAGCCACCCTTTGTGTTTAGGAAGTCATTTATGAACTTTGCTTTTACCCCTCCTCTAAACAAGCTTGCTTTCTTTAGTTTTCCTCTTCCCCACCCCCCATGTCTCACAGGACCTGATGAGCTTCCTACTATCAGAACCCTCCAAGGAATGGGGTGTACCTCCACTTTGTTTATGGGAGGCTCAGAGGAGGGAAATCTTCCTTTCTCAGCTCCCATTCCTACAGGCCTCACTTGCTCCAGAAGGGTTCTGGCGTCTCTGGGTTTGCACAGATACTTGTTTATCTGAGCCTGCTCCCTGAGCCCCCCATGAAAGCCAGTGAGAGCCCCAGGAGTGGGAAGGCGATGTGTGTGTGTGTGTGTGTGTGTGTATGTGTGTGTGTACGTGGGCTGGAGGTAGCGAGGTGCAGTGTCAGGATGTTCCTCTAGAGCGGGTGCCGGCAGCGGGTGTATATTCTCACATCCATCTTGCCATAGTGTGGGCAGCGATGGTCCAGCTGCCGAGCTCAGGTCACGCAGGCGCCTGCGCAGTGTGGACGTCTTTCCCTTGTGTA